GCACTGTCCCTGAACTTCTTTTATTTTTGGGTCCAGTTGTGGGGCCTGAACTCTGGGCCTAGGTACTGTCCCTCAGCTCTTCAGCCCAAGGCTAGTGCTCTACCACTTGAGCCATAGCGCCACTTCCGGCTTTTTTCTTTTTGCTTATGTGGTGCTGAGGAATCGAACCCAGGGCCTCAGGCATGCAAGGCAAGCACTCTACCACTGAGCCACCTTCCCAGCCCGTCCCTGAACTTCTTTTGCTCAAGTTTAGCACACTACCATTTGAGCCATAGCATCACTTCTGGCTTCTTTTATGTGGTACTGAGGAATTGAACCCAGGGCTTCATACATGCTAGGCAAGCACTCTACCACTGAGCTACATTCCCAGCCCCTGGCATATTTATTATCTTAAACATTTCTAACTATACAGTTCTTTAATATTAAGGACATCAATACTGTGTCTCTAGAACTTTTTCATCTTGAAAAACTGAAATCCTATATCTAATAAACAACTGTCCACTTCCCTACTCCCTAGCACCTGACAACCAGCATTCTATTCTCTATTTTGACCAATCCAAATACCTCATATATGTCTTTTTATGACTGGCTTATTTTACTTAACAAAATGTCTTCAAAGCTCATCCATATTCTAGCATGGGTCAGTATTTCCTTATTGAGGCTGAATGATATTGACTCCATTATACCTACTTACATTATTGTTTACTCATTCTCTTATCATAAGTATCTGTTATGAACAGGTGAGCAATCTTCTCTTCAGGATCCTGCAGCATAGCAGGAATGAACTGCTATTTGGCTTTAGAGTTGGTAGGTAACATGGAGGATTCAAATTCAAGCACCTAAGAGATTTCAATCAAACCTAATTCCATGAGGAACACATTCTAGGTCTAAGACTCTGTTGTTCCTTTTCTTAGATATTTTGTAAAGCCAGTGGAGATTTGTCTCAACTCTCCCCACAGTATTTGTATAAGATATGTCTTAGGGGCTGGGAAGGTGGCCCAGAGGTAGAGTGCTTGCCTTGCATGTATGAGACCCTGGGTTCGATTCCTCAGCACCACATAAGCAGAAAAAAGCCATTAGTGGTGCTACAGGTCAAGCGGTAGAGCACCAGCTTTGAGCTGAAGAGCTGGGGGACAGTGCTCATGCCCAGAGTTCAGGCCCCACAACCGACAAAAAAAAAAAAAAATAGAGATATGCGTTAGCATTAAATTAGTTCAGCCCTTCAAAATCACCAAATTTTAGTATTGTGAGGAGTCTCCACACTGCATTCCATAGTGGCTGCACCAATTTTTCTTCCTTCCACAAGGATGAAACTTGGCAATTCTTACTAAAGTATTACCTATTATATTTAATCTGAACCAAGATCGCTTCAGGAAAGGAAAACAAAAATCTTAATTGCCGAGGGAAAATGGTTTTCTTGTGGCCATCTCTCTGCATTTTTGTGGAATATTTTAAATAAAGATGTATTTAATAGTCAAAATGTGATTAATAATGTGTTATAATTACATATGTACTTCATTGTTGCCTAAAATCAAGTGTTAATATTTTATGTCAGATAAAATTTTTCTCACTGGGAACTGGTGGCTCACGCATATAATCCTAGGTACTCAGGAGGCTGAGAGCTGAGGATCACCATTGAAAGCCAGGAAAGTCTGTGAAATTTTTATTTCCAATTAACCACCAAAAAGCCAGAAGTAGAACTGTGGCTCAAGTGGTAGAGTGCTAACCTTAAGCACAAAAGCTCAGGGACAGCCTCAAAGTTGGGGGAAAAAGAATTCTCTACTTAACAATGTGTTAAGCTGGGCTGGGAAGGTGGCTTAGTGGTAGAATGCTTGCCTGGGCAAAAGGTCAGTCAGTGGCCAAGCCCTGAGTTCAAGCCACAGGACTGGCAAAAGAAAAAGAATGAAGTGTTACAGGTGGAGGTGTATGTCCCATCTGGTAGTATGCCTGCCTAGCAAGCATGAAGCCCTGAGTTCAAGTCCCAATATTTCATAAAGAAAAATGCATCCAAACTAACCAAGACTAATGCCTCTGATACTAATCTGCCAAAGTAATGTTGTTCTCAAGTATTAGATTTGAGCCACTTTCTTTTGGGGGGTTTTGTTTGTTTTTGTTTTTGTTTTTTTTGTTTGTTTTCCAGACAGCTCAGGCTTGTCTGGAAGTCATGATCCTTCTGCCTCAGCATTCAAAATGGTGAGATTACAGATCTGTGTCACGACACCTAGGCCCTATGGTCTATTCACAAGCACATGCACACACACGCACACACACATACACACTCATCCCACCCCAGTTTGGGGAGCCATGATATCAGATTGGACTCCATATTAATAAATTTTTTTTCATATTAATAAAATTTAAGTTTTAACAAATTCACTCATCTGGTCTTCCCAGTATGTCTGTTCTCAGGGTTTACTTGTTTCCTCTCAGGGATTTCAGTAACCTCCAGTGTAGAACTCAGGTCCTCTGGCTTGGCTGGGCAAAGTGCAATGAAGCACACCTCCAGTCCACAGACTTTGGTTTTTCCTGCACTAAAATGCTACAGTTGAAGCTGGGTGCTGCTAGCTCACCCCCTGTAATCCTAGCTACTCAGGAGGCTGTAATCTGAGAATCATAGTTCAAAGTCAGCCCCGGGAGTAAAGTCCATGAGACTCTTTATCTCTCATTAACTACCAAAAAAGCCAGAATTGGAGCTGTAGCTCAAGTGGTAAGCACTAGCTTTGAGCAAAAAAAGCTAAGAGACAGCACCTAAGCTTGGAACTCAAGCCCCAATACACACACACATACACACACACACACTGCTAGCGATGTGTATGAATTAGGGTAAAAAGTGACATAGTTGTAAGATCAGTTCATCCATAAGATGGCACTACTGCTTTGCAGGTTAAAGTTTAAACAGGTTTCCTATTGTTCCAAAACACTGCTCAAGCATTATGTTGCAAATCCTGCCACATTACTAAAAATCACAACAAAAATTCCCTCTAGGATATATGAGTCAGAGTTACATTTTGATTTAACCTAAGAATTTTGGTGTTCCTTAAAGGGGACATTATAAACAGGTGTGTACATGTCACACCCATCCAACCTAACTGCTGGATGAAGGTCAAGTGACTTCCAGATGAAGCTAATTTGGGAGATGTGTCTAAAAAAATAAATAAAAATACTGGAATCTGGGCATCAGTGGCTCACACCTATAATCCTAAAATCTGAGGATTACAGTTACCAACCAGCCCAGGCAGATAAATCAAAGAGGCTCTTATTTTCAATTAATCACCAAAAAGCCAGAAGTAGTATGGCTTTAAATTGTGGACTACCAGCCTTGAACAAAAAAGCTAAGGCACAACACTAAGGTCTTGAATTCAAGCCTCAGAATCAGTATGAAAAACAAACAAAACTGGAGTCAGAGTTTTGTATTCCATGCTAATGAATTTGAACTTTATCCTGAGGAACATAATTCACTGAAGAATTTTAAGCAAGCAGATGACTTGATCAGGCATAACATATAGTTACTCAACTTTTATGTGTGCGTGTTGCCAATACTGGGGTTTGAACTTGGGACCTCAGTGCTGTCCCTCAGTTTTTCTGCCACATCTTCAACTTCCAGCTCTTTTCTAGTTAATTGCAGGTAAAAAGTCTCACAGACTTTACTGACCAAGCCGGCTTTGAACTGCAATCCTCAGATCTCATCTGTCCTGAGTAGCTAGAATGACAGGCATGAGCCACCAGTGTCCAGCTGTTTATTTTTTTTTAAACTGTACCTCACACTTGCTAAACAGAGTACCCTAACACTTGAGCCACATCTCCAGCCCAATGTTTTGCATTTCTAGCAAATTTCCAAAAGATACTGGTGCAGATAGATTGTTACTTTCCTAAATAAAAGCAAGACAGAGTCTTCTAATCCTGAAATGGGAAGGGAGCCCAAATCCTTCACCTGTAATACAGTGCCTGGCACAAGACACTTTCCTGCCTAAAACTTTCCTTCTTCAGGTTATCTTCCTTACACACTCGCACTATTCAAAGAATTATTTTTTTTTCCACACAAAGACTGTAGGAGTTAGCTGGGCACCTGTGGCTCACACCTGTAATCCTAGCTACTGGAGGCTGAGGTCTGAGGATCACGGTTCGAAGCAGCCTGAGCAGGAAAGTCTGTGAGGCTTTTCTCTCTAACCACCAAAAATCCAGAAGTGGAGGTGCGGCTCAAGTCTTGAGAAGAAAATAAAACAAAACTCAGTGACAGGGCCAGGCCGGGAGTTCAAGCCCCGGGACCAGCACAAAACATAGCAACAACAACAACAATAACAACACACACATAGCAACAACAACAACACACACACACCTCTAGAGGCTTTCAATGTTGTGCACAAAAGCAACAAAACAACAACAACACACACACACACACACACACACACACACACTCACACACCCTAGGGGCTTTCAATGCTGTGCCCAGAGGCCCAGCGTAAGATGCACATTCTACATGATACTCTGGGATCGTAGACCCACCTGTGACCCCAGCCAGCTCTGGGAGACAGGGGGGTTTGCAAGGCCTCCGCTCTCAAGAAGCTAAGGATATCATAAGAACTTTACAGAACAAGAAGCAACCCCCGGACTTCGGAGCCAAAGACGCCCGCGAAGGACGCCGCGCTGCGGGCGAAGCCACGCGCTTCCCGGGGACCGAAAGGCCGCGGAGTGCCAGCCCTGAGCCCGAGAGGGCGGAGCCTCGGGAAAGGCGCTGTTTTCATTGGACAATCCAGCTCGGAAGAGTCCAAAGCGGACGGGGGAGTTACGCTAAACTGTCACGGATCTCGACAAGGGCTGAAGACTAGGGACTCCGAACAAGAATGCCTGAAGGAGGTCGCTTCGATAACCCCGTGTGCATTTAACCCGTGAAATCCCGCGTGCCTCTGCCCGGCGCCTCCGAGGAGTTGGACCGGTCCAACCTCCGCGGGGAGCCGTCGAGGGAGCTGCGCCGGGACCCCCGCTCCTGCAAGGGGGCGTGGGAAAGATGGTTCGCAAGGGAGGCCGGGAAATCCGGGTCGTTGGCCACCATCTTCCTCTCTATGAGCGGCGGTGACAGCGGGTCGCTGCGAGCTGAGCCATGAAGCTGATAACCAGAGCCGGCTCCTTCTCGGTGAGCACAGCCGGCAGGCTTGGGGGAAGGTTGGGAAGCAGAATGTCAGCGAGATGGTAAAGACGGAGGGTGCCTGGCCCGGGCCGGGTTCCGGGGCTGTGGGTCGTGGCGTGCCCTTCCGCCGCCCCCCGCGGGCCGAGGGGCCGAGGCGGGGCTCGGGTGCGAACTTCGGCTGGGCCTGAGGGCACCGGAGACCCGGATGGGAAGACCCGAAGGGCGGGAGGGGGCTGGAGAGCGGAGGAGAGGTGACAGGGCGGGGAGACCTCTGAAGGTCACGGGGAGGGCGGCGGAGGCCGGGGCGGCGGAGGCCGGGGCGGCGGGAGGCCGGGGCGGCGGGAGGCCGGGGCGGCGGAGGCCGGGGCGGCGGGGCGGCGGAGGCCGGGGCGGCGGAGGCCGGGGCGGCGGGGCGGCGGAGGCCGGGGCGGCGGAGGCCGGGGCGGCGGGGCGGCGGAGGCCGGGGCGGCGGGGCGGCGGAGGCCGGGGCGGCGGAGGCCGGGGCGGCGGAGGCCGGGGCGGCGGGGCGGCGGAGGCCGGGGCGGCGGGAGGCCGGGGCGGCGGAGGCCGGGGCGGCGGGGCGGCGGAGGCCGGGGCGGCGGGGCGGCGGAGGCCGGGGCGGCGGGAGGCCGGGGCGGCGGGAGGCCGCCTCGGCCCTCGCTGCCCTCGCTTCGTCGCCGACCACGCTCTGTCCTCCCGGGTAAACGCTCCTGGTCCTGGCGGCTCACCACTGCCGTGCTTAGCTACTCCGGAGGCCGAGATCTGAGGATAGCAGTTCGAAGCCAGCCCCGGGCTAGGAAAGCCTTGAGACCTTCATCTCCAGTTAGCCACCAAAAAGCCCAAGTGGAGCTGTGGTTCAAGTGGGAGAGCGCCAGCCTTGAGCTCCCGGACTCAGGACGGGCACGCGCGTGCACACATACACACACACACACATTACAGAGCCTTATCACAGTGCTTGGAACCTAATTGTGTCGATATGACGTGTGCTATTATAGGAATACTTTTGGTCTGTCTCAGAGGTACGTAACTATGTCTCCCCCCCTTGAAAACCAAATTAAATTAAAGCTGCCCCTTAGGAAAAAACAATAACAACAGTGGTTTATCACTGTGAAGCTGTGGTTATCAGGAGATGAACACCGCTTAACCTTGGGCAAAGGATAATTGGTCTCCAATGAACAGTTACCTAGAGGCAGTTTTATGAGCAACAACTTCTTAGGGAAAAGGGCAATGCACAAAAACAGCTCCCACCGCACGCTCCTGTAATTCTAGCTACTCAGGAGGCTGAGAATCACAGTCCCAAGCCAGCCTGAGCGCAAAAGTCCATGAAACTCTTGCTGTCACAAACCACCAAAAAGCTGAGCGGGAAGATGTGGCTCAAAGTATAGAGCAACAATTTTGAGAAAAAAGCTAAGAGACAGTGCCAATACTGGCACCAAAAAAAAAGGCCCCAAGAATTATGCAGCCCTAATGCCAAAACTTCTGGGTTGAGAAACCCCGCTAGTGGGGAATGCAGAAGACCAAATCCGGGAATAGTGTGTGCTTTGTGGTTAAGTGTATGTATTATAATTATGCAAATTTTGGCTATTGTCTACCTGGCTTGTCTAAATTAACCCTTTCTGAGAATTGGAGGTGTGGCTCAGGTGGTAGAGTGCCAACCAGTGAAGGAAAGCCTCAGATACTGAGTTTGAATCCTAGTCGTGGACAAAAAAAAAGACAGCTTCCTAGGCAGCCCAACAACACTGGCAAAAGTCTACCTCCACCCCTCTTGCCTCCATTCCATTCTATTAAAAAACAAAGAGCTCAAAGTTAACAATTGTTGAGGGCCAAAGGGAGAAAATTGCAGTAAACTTTAAAGCAATTATTTATGTTTCTAATTTTACACGAGAATCAGTTTATTTCAATTTCTGTGCTCATGTGCTATTTGAAAAATCAGAGGCCCAAAGCAAACACATTATCTGATATTTAATAGAAACTTTGTAGCATACCATTGACTGCATATTTTATATTCAGAATCTTCTGTGGGTAAATCTATTGTTGATCTCAGATGACAGAGTCATTTAGTCAAAGAAGGTAAGACCCTTGGTTATGTGGTCTTGCTGTGGAAATATTCTGAGGAAGTTGGTATACTTGTCCTTTAAAAGTTGCCAACCTAATTAAGGCGACGAAGTCATTTCAATTGGAAAAAACTTACAAGGCAAGATTGATGGGGCAGTTTAGGGAAACAGAGGTACTGACATCACCAGAAGGATGTTGACATAGCAATCAGACATATTTTCAAAAATTCCAGAATCACTTGAAACTTGAATAAGAAATGGTTCAAAGGTAAAGGAAAAAGTGGAACTGTGACTAAGTGGCAGGGCACTAGCCTTAAGTGAGAAAGCTAAGGGACAATGCCCAGGCTGAGTTCAAACACCAACACCAAAAAAAAAAAAAAAAGTTGTTTGCTGGGATTGGCTCACACCTATAGTTCTAGGATACTCAGGAGGCTCAAGTCAGAGTACCGCAGTTCAAAGCCAGAAGGAAAGTCTGAGCAACTTTTATCTCCAGTTAACCACTAAACCGCCAGAAGTGGAGCTGTTCCTCAAGTGGTAGAACACTAGCCTTGAGCACAAAAGCTCAGGTCCTGAATTCAAGCCCTAGGACTGGCAGCAAAAAAATAAACCCAAAAATAAAGGAAATACAGATTCTTCAATAAAATGTAGTTCAGTGGCAAAGTGCTTGCCAACACCCTGGGTTTAATCTCCAGTACCTAAAGAGAAAAGACCCCTCTCCCCAAAAATGGTGAACATAGAGAATAAATCACAAGTAAGTAGAGGTTTTAGAGTGGCTTATGCTGGGCACGGTAGCATAATCTGTAAATCCAATATATCGGCAGCTGAGTTAGGACGATTGCAGGTTTGAGTTCAGCCTGGGCTACATAGACTCAAAAAAAAACCAAGGCTGGAGACTTGACTCAAGTACAGTACTTGTCTAGCAAGCACAAGACATAGAACTCAAACCCCAGTACTGAACCTCCAGCCCCAAAATGGCTTATATTAAAACCAAGCCATTAAACCAGTGGGTTAATAAATCCATGTGTTATCAGTTCCTTGGCAGTAGTTACCCTCAAGAAGGTGGTTCTTGCCCTTTTTTACTGATGAACACAGTGTCATTGGCAAACTAAGAAACAGTGCCTTTATGTAAAGCACTATTATTGTCTAAAACATGTAACGTCTCTTTTTTTGTGTGTTTAGAGATTTTATTCCCTCAAAGTTGCCCCCAAAGTTAAAGCCGCAGCTGGCCCTACAGGAACACCCCTACGGCCTCAAGACCTTGAGGTAAGTCCCATTGTTTTGCTTTGGACCCCTTTAGACTTTATTCTCCATGATAATAGAGATATCTATACTATCTCTGCTTTATCTTGACTGCAGTTCACCAAATTACCAAATGGTTTGGTGATCGCTTCTTTGGAAAACTATGCTCCTGTCTCAAGAATTGGTTTGTTCATTAAAGCCAGCAGTAGAAATGAGGACTTCAGCAACCTCGGAACCTCTCATTTGCTTCGTCTTGCATCTAATTTGGTAAGTAACCTTATTTCAGTGTTTGGAAATGCTGCCCTAGGGTGGCCCTATGAGAAAGGAAAATTAAAGCTTTATGTTGGCTTCCTAGAGCTGCCTGTTGAAATTGCCACAAACTGGAGAGGCTTAAACAAAAGAAATGTATCCTGGGGCTGGGAAGGTGGCTCGGTGGTAGAGCGCTTGCCTTGCATGCATGAGGCCCTGGATTCGATTCCCCAGCACCACATAAGCAAAAAGAAAAAAAGCTGGAAGTGGCGCTATGGCTCAAGTGGTAGAGCACTAGCCTTGAGCTGAAGAGCTGAGGGACAGCGCCAGGCCCAGAGTTCAGGAGTGTCTATATGAGGACATATGTCCTGTTAGATTTAAGGTCAACCCTAATCTAGTGTAAACTTCATCTTAAATGATCTGCACTGACCCTGTTTAGATAAAGCTGTCTTCCCAGACACTGTACAAGTCATTACTTGATTCATGTAAGTGTAATCTCTCTATATATTACCTTTATAATAACAATAAAGTAAATTTTTTTTAAAAAAAAGATGCCTTCCCAGATTCTGAATGGACAGGAATTTTGGAGGGACACTTCAACTCAATAACATCCTCTAATATAAAATGGGAAACCCCTGCGTTAAAACTCTTATTTGCTAGAGAACCAGTAAATTAATGTCCTTCTAAATGCTAGTGTTAGAACATAAGCAATCAGAAAAAATAAAATGAAAAATTTAAAGAAAGTCAAAAATTGAAAATAATTTCCTTTCCCATATACAATTCTTTCAGAATAAATTAAACGTTCTAGTAAGCTTACATACTTTATGTAAAACGCTGAGCTCTGGTGGCTCACACCTTTAATCCTAGCTACTCAGAAGGCTGAGATCAGAGGATTGCCTTTTGTTGACACCCTGGGCAGAGAAGTTAGTGAGACTCTTACCTCCAATTAATCACAGAAAAAGCTGGAAGTGACACTGTGGCTCAAGTGGTAGAGTGTAAGCCTTGAGTAAAAGGAGCCTCGGGGTCAGTGCCCAAGCCCCACAACCAACAAATAACAAACAACAAACAAACAAACCTAAACCAGGTCTATAGTCCTGGTAGCCAGGAGGGAGAGGCAGGAGGACCTAAAGTACCAGGTGAGCCAGAGCTACCTAGCAAATTGTAGGCCACCCTGGGCTATATAGCAAGACCCTATCACAGAGAAACAAGGGTGTGAGTGTGTGTGTGTGTGTGTGTGTGTGTGTATGCGCGCGCGCGTGCGTGCGTATGTGTGTGTGTGCCCTATCACAGAGAAACAAGGGTGTGTGTGTGTGTGTGTGTGTGTGTGTGTGTGTGTGTGTGTGTGTGTGTGTGTGTGTGTACCCTATCACAGAGAAACAAGGGTGTGTGTGTTCCAATCCTGGGGCTTAACCTCAAGGCCTGTGTGTGTGTGTGTGTGTGTGTGTGTGTGTGTGTGTGTGTGTGTGTGTGTGTGTGTGTGTGTTGTGTTTTCCAATCCTGGGGCTTAACCGCAAGACCCTATCACAGAGAAACAAGGGTGTGTGTGTGTGTGTGTGTGTGTGTGTGTGTGTGTGTGTGTGTTTGTGTGTGTTTTCCAATCCTGGGGCTTAACCTCAAGGCCTGGGCATTGTCCCTGAGTTACTGTGCTCAAGGCTAGCACTCTATCACTTAAGCCACATCTCCACTTCTGGCTTTTTTATAATTAATTAGAATCTGTAAGAGTCTCTGACTTTCCTGCCAGGGCTAGCTTCAAACCACTATCCTCAGATCTCAGCCTTCTGAGTTGCTAGAATTACAAGCATGAGCCACCAGCACCTGGCCCACTTGTGCTTTTTGATGAACTTTGGTCATTGTTAGCTAAAATTGCTAATAACAGACAATAGATTTTAATATAATAATAAAGAATGATATATGGCAAACATAACATTGAAGAACTACTGAGAATATATTCTTTCTTTTTCAAGACTACAAAAGGAGCTTCATCTTTCAAGATAACGCGTGGAATTGAAGCAGTTGGTGGTAAATTAAGGTTAGTTAAATAAGAAATAAGTAATAAAAACACCTGAAGGTGCTCAGTTTTAAGGAAACGTTTCTATTACCAAGGTGGTAATTAAGTTCGGGCACCAGTGGCTCATGCCTGTAATCCTAGATTCTCAGAAGGCTGAGATCTGAGGATCACGGTTCAAAGCCAGCCTGGGCAGGAAAGTCCGTGAGACTCTTATCTCCATTAAATAACTAGAAAACAGGAAGTGGGCACTGGGAAGGTGGCTCAGTGGTAGAGTGCTTGCCTTGCATGCATGAAGCCCTCAGTTCAATTCCTCAGCACCACATAAGCAGAAAAAACTGGAAGTAGGGCTGAGGCTCAAGTGGTAGAGTGCTGGTCTACAGCTGAAGAGCTGGGGGGTCAGCGCCCGGGCCCAGAGTTCAGGCCCCACAACCGACAAAAAAAAGAAAAGAAGAAGAAAAGAAAACCTGAAGTGGCGCTATGGTTCAAGCGGTAGAGCAATCACCTTGAGCTGAAGAGCACAGGGACAGCGCCCAGGCCCAGAGTTCAATCCCCACAACCGAGGGGGGAAAAAATTCAGAGTAGATATTAGCAATTTATGTAACATGCAAAGAATTTCTATTTGGAAAAATGATTGTGTGAGAAAACAATGAAAGAAAAAGAATGGAGAAAAAGAAAAGGCTATTTCTAGAAATGAAAGCCCGAAACAAGTCTTTGTCATTATAGTAACAGTGAAGTATAACTTCATACCCATCAGATTCTTTCTTTTAATTTGATAGAAATCAGAGAAGTAGAGAATCTTGTGTTGTGGAAATGTAAATTGGCAAAACTGCTTAGAAAATAATCAGGAAATGTCTCGTACTGTTCAGATCCAACCATTCTTCATCTATGTGTACAAAGTTATTTATCTTTGTAAAGATTAGAAACTATTTAAGTATCCATTTCAGGGAAATGGATAACATGAAATAGTCATATGATAGGACTTCTCCATAGCTGGAAGTGAGCTAGATCTGTGAGTTTGCATGGAAGAATTTGAACACAGACTTATTTCTGGAGTAGAGGAGAATGAGCCTGGGAGAGATACAGAGATCTTCAACTTTCTTTGCCTCTTTTTTATTATTGCAAAGTATGGATCGCATAAATTTTTACCAGTTTTTTTTTAAACTGGACACGTGACTCAGAGGCTGAGATCTGAAGATCAGAGTTCAAAGCCAGCACAAGCAGATAAATCTGAAAGACTCCAATTAACCAGCAGAAGGCTGTGTTCAAGCACCAGCACTGGCTAAAAAAAAACCTTTTTGTAAATTAAGTGTCTGGCTAATTCCCATTTGTGCCTGAACCCCTGACAACTACCAGTCTTTGTTTTCTGTCTATAATTTTGATTATTTTAGGGTTCCTTGAATAAGTGAAATCATGCAATTTTGTAAATTATTTAGTATAAGGTTTACAGGGCTTATCCAGGTTGTAGCATGGTCAGAATTGTATTCCTAGTTAAGGTTGATATGTTAGCCATTTTTAATGCAGCATATTTTTTTTTAGTGGTACTGAGTTTTGAACTCAGGGCTTTGTGCTTGCCACAACAATGCTCTTCTGCTTAAGCTATGCCTCCAGCCTTTTTGCTATGGTTATTTTTGAGACGGAGGAATCTCACTTTTGCCCAGACTGGCTTGGACCACAATCCTCTTTGTGTGCGTGGGGGGGGGGGGGGGGTTACCAGGGTTTGACCTCAGAGGCCTAATGGTTGCTAAGCTGGCATTCTACCACTTAAGTTATACCTCCAGCCTTTTTTTTTTTTTTTTAACCAGTCCTAGGACTTGAACTCTAGGCCTAGGCACTGTCCCTGAGCTTCTTTTGCTCAAGGCAAGCACTCTACCACCTGAGCCACAATGCCACTTCTGGCTTTTTTGGGTAGTTTGTTGGAGTCTCACAGAGTTTCCTGCCCAGGCTGGCTTCAAACCGTAATCCTCAGATCTTAGCCTCCTCAGTAGCTAGGATTACAGGCATGAGCCACCAGTACCTACCCTTATTTGTACTTCTTTATAATATTCCAAACTTGGCAAAGAAGTTGGTTAATAGAATAAAGAAGATCCAAGGAAAATTTTATTCTGATTCAGATAATTGACTATAATTTATTTCCAATTCAGTGTGACTGCAACCAGAGAAAATCTGGCATACCGTGTGGAGTGCTTGCGGGATGATATGTAAGTACCTTATGTGTTCAATACACCTGCTTTTAAAGTCAGAAGTCTGACTTTAAAGATTTTTAAAGTCTGACTTTGATTTGGGTTATTATTCACAAACCTTGTCCTCATAGCACTGCTAACCACAAATACTAAAAGGTAATACAGAGAAGATTCTAGTGAGGTAGCATCTTGTATATCGGTTTTAAAATTTTAACCTAGGACTCTTGCCTGGATGTCTTCTACAGTGAGATTCTAATGGAGTTCCTGCTCAATGTCACCACTGCACCTGAGTTCCGTCGTTGGGAAGTAGCAGCCCTTCAGTCTCAGTTAAAGATAGACAAAGCTGCGGCTTTTCAGAATCCACAGGCTCGTAAGTTTTTGTTTTTGTTTTTGAAATGTTCACTTGTTTCTAGATGCTAGCTTTTGTGAAGATCAGTTTGTAGAGGGGTAAAAAAACATTGCTATTGAAACTTTTTTCCTACTTAGGCTTGAAATGATCTTTTCCAAATATTTGGTAAGCTGTATAAGTACATTCTGTGTTCTTTTATTTCTTATTTGCTTTTTAGTAGTAAATAAGTTGATTATAGAATACTAGTTTTCATTCATAAACAAATTGATTATAGAATACTAGATAATTTTCATTCCATGTTTAGGAGGGTGGTGTTGGCTTTTTTGCAAGGGGAGGGTGGTTGATTTTTACCTGTCCTGGGGTTTGTTTTTTTGGTCGGCCTTGTGGCCTGAACTCTGGGCCTCAAGGCTAGTGCTCTACCACTTGAGCCACAGCGGCCACTTCTGGCTTTTTCTGCTTATGTGGTGCTGAGGAATCGAATCCAGGGCCTCATGCATGCGAGGCTAGCACTCTACCACTGAGCTACCTTCCCAGCCCATGTCCTGGGGTTTAAACTCAAGGCCTGGACACTGTCTCTGAGCCTTTTTATTGCTCAAGGCTAGCACTCTACCACTTGAGTCAAGGCTCCACTTCCAGTTTTTTGGTGGTTAATTAGAGATGAGTCTCATGAGCTTTCCTACCCAAGCTTGCTTCAAACTGTGACCTTAGATCTCAGCCTCTTGAGAAGCTACTAGTATCCAGCTTGTTTTTAAAAAGTGTGATTGTGTTTATATTAAAATAATTACCTGTTTTTAAACATTTTTACTTGCTGGGAAAATGTACTAAAGACTTTTTTTTTTTTACCTTTGAATGGTTGTATTTCAGAGACTAGCTACTTGATTTTTTTTTTTAATGAGAACTTCTTTGTATTCATACTGAATGTTTAATTATGTAATTTTGACAGGTACATCTTCCTAACTAAGGTAAAGCACTGCTAGTTTTTAGAAGTAAATGACTTCTGGTTGGGGCAGAATGTCAGTATATCAGCTGCAGAGCTCACCTGAACACACAGGCCTGTCACAATCCTGTGAATGTCTAGAACACAGCAAGTGTTTGGTTCACATTGCTAATAGTAACTCATGGTGATGCTTACTGTCACAGAAGCACCTACGTAGTTGTCATCCTAGAGGTTCTAATCCTCCTATTTTCTTTTCTTTTTTTTATGTTGATTCTTTTTTTTTATTGTGAAAATACTGTACAGAGGGGTTACAATTACATGGGCAAGATAATGAGTACATTTCTTATCAAGCATTGTAGCCTCCTCCTTTGTTATCCCTTCCCATCCTCCCCACCCGCCCAATCCTCCTCTCCCCTCCCCCCCCCCCAACCCTCCTATTTTCTGACAGTTACCATGTGGTCTCCTGGAGGCTGGAGGGTCCACCTCCAGTTGTGCAACTATAATTGTCTTCCACATTCCTTGGCAATGATGGTTTTGACATGAAAACCCAGAGAAAATCCTTGTTCTTTATTTTTGTCGTTCGTGGGGCTTGAACTCTGGGCTTGGGTGCTGTCCCTCAGCTCTTCAGCTCAAGGCAAGTGCTCTACCACTTGAGCCACAGCGCCACTTCTGGTTTTCGAGTGGTTGATTAGAGATCAGAGTCTCACAGACTTTCCTGCCCAGGCTGGCTTTGAACCGTAATCCTCAGATCTCAGCCTCCTGAGTAGCTAGGATTACAAGCATGAGCTACTAGCACCCGGCCCTTGTTCTTCATTTAAAGTGATACAGAAAGTGTACAGAGACAGGTGCCAGTAATTCACATCTGTAATCCTAGCTACTCAAAAGGCTTAAATCTGAGGATCAAAGTTCAAAACCAAGCCTGGGTAGACTCTTATCTCCAATTAAACACCCTGTTGGGGTGAAAGGTGGAGCTGTGGCTCAAGTGGTAGAGCACTAGCCTTGAGCACAAAAGCTCAGGAAAAGCACATAGGCCCCTGTTTATTCTTTAATAGTCCCATTGCCTTGAAGGTCAGTTGGCATTGTAACTACTTGTCGGTATTTCCAGCACCTAGTACAGTGCCTGGAATCAGGAGGATTGCCTAGCTAATGAGAAGATTAGGAAATAAAACTCCAGCAGAGAAAGGAAGCAGGAATACAAGCATGGTGCCAGGGTACCAATGAAGAGTAAGTCTAGGTTGACAGTAGCCTTTAATGTATAGCTAACCTATAGCTCCCAGTACTCTGGCAGTGCCTGTATTACCTAGAGAGGGAACCTGGAAGGAATTAGAATTCAGGTTGAACAAGTTGCCCAAAGACATACAGCAAGGTGGAAGTGGCACTGTGGCTCAAAGTGGTAGAGCACTAGTCTTGAGCAAAAAAGAGCTCAGGAACAGTGGCCAGGCCCTGAGTTCAAGCCCCATGACTGACCAAAAAGAAAAATAAGAAGTTCATATTAGGGCTTAGTGGTACAGTGCTTCATGCATGAAACCCTGGGTTTGATTCCTCAGTACCACATAAACAGAAAAGGCTGGAAGTAGTGATAGAGAGCTAGCCTTGAGCAAAAAGAAGCTTAGGGACAGTGCCCAGATCCTGAGTTCAAGCCTCAGGACTGGCAGAAAAAAAAAAAAAGATATATGGCAAGGTGGTAGCAAAATCATAACTAGATTCAGAACTCCTGAAACCAAGCTTTTACACTTTGCTGGTGATACTAGTATGTTCAAGTTAGAAAGTGTTTAGGTAAGCTGAGCACCAGTGGCTCATGCCTGTAATCCTAGCTACTCAGGAAGCTGAGATTTGAAGATCACAGTTTGAAGCTATCCTGGGCAGGAAAGCCTTTGAGATTTTTTTTTTTTTTAATTTTATTTTATTTTATTTGCCTGTGAGATTTTTTTATCTCCAGTTAGCTGCAGAAAAGTGGTAGAGCACTAGCCTTGAGAAAATTGCTCAGGGACAGTGCCAAGGCCCTGAGTTCAAGTCCCAGGACTACTACCCCCCAAAAAAGTGTTCAAATAGATTAGTACATCAAAGCTGCTACCATAGGTGCTTGTAATTCTCCTTGGTACATTCAAATGGCAGAATTTTAACAGTTGCTGGGGATAGACTGTTAATAAATGCCAAGTCCTCCTAATATTTAAGTCCCAAATTTATGTAGAAATACTCTGCTTTTCTGTCTCATAGGTGTCATTGAGAATTTGCATGCTATTGCTTACAAGAATGCCTTGGGTAACTCCTTGTACTGTCCTGACTATCGGATTGGAAAAGTGACATCAGAGGAGGTAATGAATAAAACATGGAGTATTTGAAAATGGGCTTGTTTTCACCGTAAATTGGACATTCAACCAGCATTTCAAGGTGTTTGCTGATTTCTCATTTTACTTCCTAATTTGAACAAATTTCAGCTTGCTTGCTTTTTTTTCCCTCATGAATATGGTTTTTAACTAAAATTCTGTCAGATTTTTTTGTATAATCATTTTAAAAGTTTTTAAGCCTTTGTATCTTTTTATACCCTTTTCTATGTGTATGCATCTTTTGTAAGCAATTAAGTGATTAAATATCACAATAATTTACTTGACTAGATACATTTAGTCTCTCCATGTAAATATAATAATACATAGGTAAAGCTGGTGCTAGAGGTATATGCCTGTAATCAGACTACTAAGGAGGCTAAAATCTGAGAATCTTGTTCAAAGCCAACCCAGGCAGGGAAGTTTGTGAGATTCTTATCTCCAATTATCCAACGAAACTTTGGAAGTAAGCTGTGGCTCAAATAGTGTAGCATGAGCAAAATACTCAGGAACAGTGCCTAGACGCTGAGTTCAAACCCGAGTACCAAAACCAAGAAAAATAAATAAAAGTTACAAATACAGATGATTTGGTTATTTCGAAGTTAGTGTTTTTATTAAATGTGCCCCTAACCTAAAGGGAATACTAAAGAACTTGGTAGACTACGTAGAAAAATGGCAGCTTTGGCAGAACAACATCAATAGAAAGAATATGGCTTCATAGATATCCACCGTTTCAGAGCATAGCTTCTGATAAGTTGATTAAAGCCTGAGTCAGAGTTTCTTATCAGTTACTTCCTTTTCCAGGTAGCCTTTCTCTAAACCTCTCCTGTGAATTTGTTTAACATTAGAGTACTATAAATCTACTCATGTACTAGATGCATATTTGTACTCTATGTTTAGAATGAGTGAAACAATTTTCAGCCCCTTAGAGGCAATGCCACTCTTGTTGAGAATGTTTTACTTTTGTATATCAAGCCTAAAGTAAAAAGCATAATCCATAATTCCCAAATCTCACTGATCCTCAGATATGGAACTCTGAAACAAGATAGAGGCACGAGAAACAGTAATAGTCTTTGGCTTGACTTTTAAGTTCCCTAGGTAATTATTTAATAATTCATGTTGAAAATTCTAGCAACAAAATCTTCAAAAAGACGGGCTTCAAAAGATGAAAGACAGGCCGGGCACCGGTGGCTCACACCTGTAATCCTAGCTACTCAGGAGGCTGAGATCTGAGGATCCCAGGTCAAGGCCAACCCAGGCAAGAAAGTCTATGAGACTCTTATCTCCAATTAACCACCAGAAAACCAGAAATGGCACTGTGGCTCAAGTGGTAGAGTGCTAGCCTTGAGCCGAAGAGCTGAGAGACAGAGCCCAGGCCTAGAGGTCAAGCCCCACAACCAACAACAACAACAAAATGAAAGACACGCCAGGTGCCAGTAGCTCACACCTGTAAATTGTAGCTACTCAGGAGGCTGAGATCTGAGGGTCACAGTTCAAAGCCAGCCCGAGCAGGAAACTGTGAGACTCTTACCTCCAATTAGCCACCAGAAAAATCAGAAGCGGTGCTATGCGGTTTAAGTGGTAGGGCGCTAGCCTTAAGCTGAAGCACTCAGGGACAGTGCCCCAGGCCCAGAGTTCAAGTTCAAGCCCCATGACCAACCAAAAACATGAGACAGGTGTTATGACACAGTTACATTAGATCCCCATGGAATGTGGACTGTGCTTCATCAATCCCTATACTAAACAACAAACAAAACTGTGTGTACTCCTTCAACCACATAATAATGAAAACCCAGAACTTGGTTCTGTGGTTTCAGATTCAAGCTAGTATACTCTTAATTTCTTTCTAGTCTTTTTTTTTTTTTTTTTAGTAACAGCCTTATTTACATGCAACTCACATACCGTACATGGTACAAAGTTGTGAAACCATGACTACAATTGAGTATTAGAGTTTTTTTTGTAGAGTGGAAGGGAGAAAAGGGTTTTTATTACATAGTATAGACTGGCCTCAAACTCATGATTCTTCAGTCTTGGCTTCCTAAGCAACTTTTTTTTTTTTTTGGTTTGTCTTGGGCCTGAACTCTGGGCCTGGGTGCTGTCTCTCAGCTCTTCAGCTCAAGATGAGCACTCTACCACTAAACCACCATCCCAGCCCCTATAGGAGCAACATTTAAGCCTGGAGATTAATTTCTGCCATACTGCACTTGTATCTTTTATAGCTTTTCATTTTTATACTATATCCTAATGAGTGTTCTTTACTTCCTCAGTTGCATTTCTTTGTTCAGAACCATTTTACCAGTGCAAGAATGGCTTTGATTGGAATTGGTAAGTTGGGAAATGCTTGCCTATCAGTTTGCTTCCCAAAGAGCAGTCCCTTAAAATGTTGACTGTGTGAGCATGAGATTGAACAGAATTTGGAAGTTCTTATGTCAGACCAACAATATGTAATAAATACGTAAACCACTTGCTCCCCTACAGTCTATAGCATTTGCAAAGCATGTAACAAGGGTGGATTTTTCTAAGCAAAGCGTTTTTGTAGACCTATCTTTTAAAAAGAAGTACAACTTACACAGGAATGTACAGGCTGGGAATGTAGCTTAGTGGTAGAGTGCTTGCCTAGCATGCATGAAACCCTGGGTTCGATTCCTCAGTACCATATAAAGAGAAAAAGCTGAAAGTAGCATTGTGGTTCACATGGTAGCCTTGAGCAAAAGAAGCTCAGGTACAGTGCCCAGGCCCTGAATTCAAGTCCCAGGGTAGGAATACAGCTCTGTGGTAGAATACTTGCCTAACATGTATGAGGCCATAGATTTGATCTCCAGCACTGAAAAGAAAACAAAAAAGGAGTATAATTTGTCTTGTCGGGTGTGCCCATCATCTCAACTACTTAGGAGGCAGAAATTGGGAAGATCACAATTTAAGGCTAGCAAGAGAATATCACTGCAATATGATAGTCGTTAGTTGAAAATACAATTCATTAGCTTATAGTTTCTGTAAAATTAACCCTTTTAGTATACAGTCTATGGGACTTTTAAAAAATAATTTCAGATTATCTATTATCTAATTTCAGAATGTTTTTCTGTCTAGATTGGACTATTCTGGGCATTTTGCCTAGAGGAATCAGACATTTTTAAGTTTTTCTTGGTACACCTCTTTTAATTCTTATGAGTAGAATTGCAGAACAAACATGGGCAACCATCTTCCTGAGTATGCCCATCATAGTGGTAAGAAGTGTCAGAGGGGCCTAATGACAGATAACAGTGATCAGCTTTTCTTGTGTTGCTTTGGCCATCTCTATAGCTTCCTTGTAGAAATATCTGTACAAAGTCCTTTGCCCAGTATTTTCAACTAGGTTTTCTTAAATTTGTAGTTGTAAGGATCCTTTATGTGTTTTTGAAGCTAACTAGACCCTTATCAGATATGTGACTTACTTTTTTCTTTTTCTTTTTTTTTTTTCATTTCATGGTGGTTTATTCAGTTTTTGGTTTTTTTCTTTTTTGGGTGGTACTAGGCTTTAAATCAGGACTTTGTACTTGATAGGAAGGCACTTTACCCCTGAGCCATCCCTCCAGTACAGTCTACTCACTATTGGCAGTGTCCTTTGGTGTTTAGTACAATATTATTTTAATAGCCAACTATTTGAAACATGCAAATGTTCATCAGGAAGTTATTGATGAGTTATACATCGGTGGAATCCTAGCTTTTGGGAGGCTGAGATTGAAAGGATTGTGGTTGAGGCCAACTCAGGCAGAGAAGATTACAAGACCCCATTCTCAACCTATAGCTGGGCACAATGATGCATGCCATTATCTTAAGCTACGTGGGATATTGAGTTTGGGAAGATTGTGATTCCAGGCCAGTTAAGGAAAGGAAACTCTTGAGAGACTCCCATCTCTCTGGAGGGAAGCTGCACACGTTTGATGCCAGCAATAACAGGAAACCTAAAATAGGCTCAGAAACACGCTCAGGTGGAAAGCAAGACCCTGTTCTAAAAGTAACCATCAAAAAACAGGTTTGGAAGCCTGGGAATGTGGCTTAATGGTAGAGTGCTTACCCACCATGCATAAAGCCCTGGGTTCAATTCTTGGTACCACATTAAAAAAAAGAAAAGAAATAGTAAAATTAAAAGAAAAAAAAAACATTTAAAAAAACAAAACGATTTGGTAGTTGTCCATAATGCTAGCTATTCAGGAGGCTGAGATCTGAAGATTAAGGTTTGAGGTACACCAGGACAGAAAAATCTGGAACTGTGCTGGTGGTACCTCACACCTATAATCTTAGCTACTCAGGAGACTAAATCAGAATCACAGTTTGAAGCCAGCCCAGACAGGAAAGTCTATGATACTCTTATCTCCACTTAACCACCACAAAGCTAGAAGTGGAACTGCAGCTCAAACAAGAGAGTACTAGCCTTGAATACAAAAGCTAGGGAGAGTGCCCAAGCCCTGAGTTCAAGCCCCAATGAAGATCATTCACTGTTCAATATTGACCTATCACTTGGATGCAAACTAAGAAAGACAAGTTAAAAACACCAATAAAATGCCATTTTAAGGACTGCAGGTGTAGTTCAGTGGCCTAGCATGTGTTTAGCCTGCTCAAGGCCCTAGATTGAACACCCATAGTACCAAAAAAATGTGAGGCTGGATGGACTGGCACCCTCCTGTAATCCAGTTACTACAGAATGAGATTGGAGTTCAAGGCCAACCAGATCAAAAAATTAGTAAGATCCCTGTCTTAACAACAACAAAAAGCCAAGCATATTAATATATATATCTTCTATAATCTCAGCTACACTAGAGGCATAAGTAGATGAGGCTGGCCACCAGCAAAAGCAAAACTGTATCAGAAAAAATAAAGCAAAAGAGGCTGGAGGTGTAACTCAAATGGCTAAGTGCTTGCCTGGCAGGTAGAAGGCCCTAAGTTCATACCCCAGTGCTGTCAAAAAGAAAAGGAATAATCTTAACTGCATAGGAAAAAAGGTCCAAATAAAAATAATCATAAAGAGTGTGGCAATAGTAGACTGTGTGTTATATCTGTAAAAATGAGGTTGCAGGGCTTGAAAAGGTGTCTCAATGGTAGTGCTTGCCTTGTACGCATGAGGCCCTGGGTTCAATTCTTCAGCACCACAAAAGCAGAAAAAAGCCAGAAGTGGCACTGTGGCCCAAGTGGTAAAACGCTAGCCTTGAGCTGAATAGCCGAGTGATAGTGCCCTGGCCCAGAGTTCAGACCCCACATCCGACCAAAAAAAGTGAGGTCACAGTGGGAGATCTATCTTTCTTTCTTTCTTTCTTTTTTGTCAGTCATGGGGCTTGAACTCGGCCTGGGTGCTGTCCCTGAGCTCTTCAGCTCAAGGCAAGTGCTCTACCGCTTGAGCCAGTGCCACTTCCGGTTTTCTGGTGAATAATTGGAAATAAGACTCTCATGGATGTTCCTGCCCAGACTGGCTTTGAACCAGGATCTTCAGATCTCAGCCTCCTGAGTAGCTAGGATTACAAGCATTAGCCACCAGTGCCTGGCTTCATATTTGAATTTTATAGTCATACGTCTTTTGAGTTTGAGGTTTTGGTTTTGTTTTGTGCCAGTAATGAGGCCCGAGCTCAGGGCCTTGTGTTCTCATGCAGCTCTTTCACTCAAAACTGGTATTCTACCACGTGAGCCACTCCTCCACTTCCAGCTTTATGTTGGTTAGTTGGAGAGATGAATCTCTTGAATTTGTCTGCCTAGCCTGGCTTCAAACCATGATCCTCACATCTCAGCCTCCTGATTATCAAGAATTACAAGCATGCACTACTAGTGCCCAAATTGAATCAATCAGAGCATATGTGTGTTTTAGAAAATCTGGCTCTAGCTTTTTTTCTGTTTCTTGTCACATAGGTGTGAGCCATCCCATTCTAAAGCAAGTGGCTGAACAATTTCTGAACATGCGAGGGGGGCTTGGCTTATCTATTCCCAAAGCTAAATACCTTGGAGGTAAGCATTTCCTGGCCAAAGCTAAATACCATGGAGGTAAGCATTTCCTGGCTAGAATAGTATGCTGGGTGGTTTGATTAATTTACTGTCGTTACAGAAGAAGATAATTAAATGCCTGTGGTGTTGCACATGTTCTGTGATGTATGAGGGTAGGATAGCCTGGGGAAAGCTCAGGGCAACAGGAAAGCCTTATCTGTGTCATAGGGAATACAATGGAGTAAAACCAATGGTAACCTACCACCTCCTTCCTTCCCCTTTCCTTACCTGGCTCCAGGTGAAATTCGAGAGCAGAATGGAGACAGCCTTGTCCACGCTGCTCTTGTAGCAGAAAGTGCAGCCATAGGAAGTACGGAAGCAAATGCTTTCAGTGTTCTTCAGCATGTTCTGGGCGCTGGGCCTCATGTCAAGAGGGGCAGCAGCAGCACTGGCCTCCTCCACCAGGCCGTCGCCAAGGGAAGTCAGCAGCCCTTTGATGTGAGTGTAAGCAGTTGGCAGTTCATCTTTTGTTCTCAGTATTTATGATGGAATCCTCTTCAGCTTCTCCTAATGCTAGCCTGCTCTTAAATTTTAAGATAAATAAAAAATATGTATACACTGGGCACTGGTGACTCACGCCTGTAATCCTAGCTACTCGGGGATGAGATCTGAGGATCATGATTCAAAGCTAGCCCGGGCAGGAAACTCTATGAGATTCTTATCTCTAATAAACCACCAGAATGCCACTGTGGCTCAAGTGTTAGAGTGTTAGCTTTGAGCTGAAGAGCTAAGGAACAGTGCCCAGGCCCAAAATTCAAGCCCCACAGCCAACAACAACAACAAAAAAAGTACACAATTGAAAAGACAGCCAGGTTTGATTCTCCTCCCTTCATGGATCTATTAAAAATACATTGTCATTAGCTAGACCTTGGTGGCTCAGTCCTGTAATCCTAGCTACTCAGGAGGCTAAGATCTAGTTCAAAGCCAGCCTGAGTTAACCCCCAAAAAGCTGGAAGTAGAGCTGTGGCTCAAGTGGTGTAGTGCTACCCTTGAACAAAAGAAGCTCAGGGACAGTGCCCAGGCCCTGAGTTAAAACCCCAGGACTGGCACAAAAAAAGGGGAAGAAAAGTATTGATTTTTAAATTCTTTTATCGAAAGTAGAATTAAATGCTTAGAAATCAGAGAATGTAAAGTGTTACATAAAGCAACAAAGTGTTATGATTATAAATCAACAAAGTGTTTCTTAATGAGTAGGCCTTGTTGTCCAGGGTAAACTATATAACTTTCATCAGTGTTCCTTTAAAAGGTAATGAATTGTCTCTCTTAAACTGTGAAGGAACAGGAATTATGTATAGATAGCCTCAGGGAAATTGTGCAGTTTTACATGGCAGAACGTCATACAATCATGTTATATTATATTGCAGGTTTCTGCTTTTAATGCCAGTTACTCGGATTCTGGACTCTTTGGGATTTACACTATCTCCCAGGCTGCAGCTGCTGGGGATGTAAGTTGGCAAACTCAGCTCTCAAGTTTTCCTCCTATTAACATGTTTGTAATTAAATATGGCACCATGGTACATATCTGTCATCCCAGTTACTGGGCAGGCAGAGACAAAAAGATCACAGTTCAAGGCTGGTTAAGCAAAAAGTCAGTAAAGGGCAGACTCAGTGGCACACACCTGTGATCTCAACTACTTGGAATGCAATCTGAGGCCAGTCCAGGCAGACACTTAAGACCCTATATCAAAAAAAAAAAAAAAGTACTAAAAGCAAAACTACTTGGGGCATAGTTCAAGTGGTAGAGCATGTAACCCAGCAAGTGTACTGAGTTCATATCTCACTACTGCAGATGTATGAAATGTTTGAATGCAATGATTTGTTAATGCCCTCTGGGCATGATGTCATTTGAAGTACATCTGCTATGGGAAAATTTTAAAGAATGTATTTATACTTTAGGAAAGCAAGGAGTGTATTCTAGTCAGATAAGTGGCATATCTAAATTTCAGATCCCAAGCTGAGTTCTAATGGCTCATGCCTATAATCCTAGGTACTCAGGAGGCTGAGATCTAAGGATTCTAGTTCAGAGCCAGCCTGGGCAGGAAAAGTCCATGAGACTTACCGCCAATTAACCAGCAAAAAAAGCCAGCAACAGAGCTCTAGCCTTGAGCAAAAAAGCTAAGAGACAACACCTAGGCCCTGAGTTCAAGCCCTAGGACCAGCACCAAAAAGCTAGACAGACAGACAGACAGATAGATAGATAACTGTTTTGACAGGTGCTGGGAAACACCACCATTTATCTGGCAAATGACTAAGGGAAATGGCTTTGAAAAGCAGAGAAGTAGGTATATGTGGAGGCCCAGAAAGAAATGGTTAATACTGGGTTTTGGGGGTTTTTTTTCCAAATAGACACTGGTGTTTCTGAAAGTAACCTTCCATGCTGTATTTTGCTTTAGTAAAAGAGTGATACCACAGGAGACTCTGGTACCAAGCAAAGATAACCAACTTTTACTGTCTGTCCTAGGTTATCAAAACTGCCTACAACCAAGTAAAAGCAATTTCTCAAGGCACACTTACCAGTACAGATGTCCAAAATGCCAAGTAAGTGTCCATAGCAGCTATGTATTTCATGTTTTAGTTATTTGGAAGTTGTTTTCGTACATGTTCATAAGGATTGTGTACAGCAAAGTATGAAAAAGGAAAGAGAAAGCTAGGGCTCTGATAGAGTGCTTGCCTAGCAAGGTCTTGAGCTTGATGCCCAGCATCACAAAAGTAGGTAAAAAATAAACGAGATGGGATGGTAGGGGAAAAACAGAGGAGGGGGTAACAATGTTTGATAGAAAATGTACTCATTACCTTACTCATGTAACTGTAACCCCTCTGTACAGTAGCTTCACAATAAAAAATATTTAAAAATAATAAACAAGCTAGACACTGGTAGCTCATGCCTGTAATCCTACCAACTCAAGAGGCTAAGATCCAGAGGATCACAGTTGGAAGCCAGTCTGAGAAGAAAAGTCTACAAGATTCCATCTCCAAAATAAGTAGCAAAAGGCAGGGCTGGATGGGCACTGGTGACTCACATCTGTAATCCTGGCTATTCAGGAGGCTGAGGTTGGAGGATCACAGTTGAAAGTCAGCCCAGGCAGGAAAGTTCAGAAAACCAGAAGTGGTGCTGTAGCTCAAAGTGGTAGAGTGCTAGCCTTAAGCAAAAAGAGCTCAGAAACAGCACTCACCTTGATCTGAAGACAGGCTCAGGGACAGCATCCAGGCCCAGAGTTCAAGCCCCACGGCCGACAAAATTATATATGTAAATTCAAATCTAATTTGTTTCTTAAATAGGGCAATATATAGAAATTTAAATTTAGTTTAAAAATGTCAAGATGTTTCCTTTCTGCTATTTCAATAGAATTGATGGGTTTTTATGAGATTGCTACATTTGAGGTTTAGATATTTAAATAAGGACCTTCAAGTACCATGTTTATACAGAATAGTTCCTGTGTGGGAGAACTGTGAATTGGGGGTTGTTTTGTTTGTTTTTTTGTCAGTCCTGGGACTTGAACTCAAGGCCTGGGCACTGTCCTTGAACTTCTTTTGCTCAAGGCTAGCACTCTACCATTTGAGCCACATCACCATTTCCAGCCTTTTCTTTTTTTGGGGGGGCGGGGGGGGAATCCAGTCATGGGGCCTGAACTCTGGGCCTGGGCACTGTCCCTCAGCTCTTCAGCTCAAGACTAGCACTCTACTACTTGAGCCACAGCGCCACTTCCGGCTTTTTTCTTTTTGCTTATGTGGTGCTGAGGAATCAAACCCAGGGCCTCAGGCATGCAAGGCAAGCGCTCTACCACTGAGCCACCTTCCCAGCCCTTCCAGCCTTTTCTGTACTGAGGAACTGTTCCATTTATGTTGTACTGAAGAATTGAACCCAGGGCTTCATGCATGCTAGACAAGCACTCTGCCACTAAGCCACATTCCCAGACCCTTGTCATATTTTATTACAAATTAATGCTTCTGTGCCCATATTTAAGCTCTGAGGTTTAGCAGAAGACTTGTATTATCAATATTTCCACATCAAGTCCTACCCTCATTAAGATAAACTCAGCAGAGAAATAGCATTCGGTGGGGGATACGTATGTATGTTAGATAATGTATCTGTGTGCATGTGTGTGTGTGTGTGTGTGTGTGTGTGTGTGTGTGTGTGTGTGTGTGTGTGTGTGTGTGTGTGTGTATCTATGTATATATGTAATGGACAGGCAACAGTCTCAGTGGAAAGTGACAGCCCATAGAGGTTGGGAATCGCTTCAATAGAGAAAGAAGCCTACAGTTATCTCTCAATATATCATAAAGCAGGAATTGCTCCATGAAACAAAATCTCTTGTTAAAATAGTTGCTCCTAACCCAGGCACTAGTGCCTCATACCTGTAATCCTAGCTACTCAGGAGGTTGAGATCTGAGGATCATGGTTCAAAGCCAACCCAGACAGGAAAATCCAATTAACCACCAAAAAAAAGATGGACCAGGAGCTATGGCTCAAGGGGTAGAGCACCAGCCTTGAGAGGAAAAACTAAGGTACAGCACCAAGGCCCTGAGTTCAAGCCTCAGGACTAGCACAGACATATACACATATAAACCTGTTTGTACCTAGATCAAGTTCTAGTCCAAAATCAAAAGAATTCTTTGAACTAGGCACCAGTGGTTCACACATGTAATCCTAGTGACTCAAGAGGCTGACATCTGAGCATCATGGTTTGAAGCCATCTTGGGCAATAAAGCCCATGAGCTTCTCATTTCCAGCAAATGACTCAGAAAAAGCTGGAAGTGGGACTGTAGCTCAAAACGGTAGATCCGCTAGCCTTGAGCACAAAGAAGCTTGGGGACAGTGCCCAGGTCCTGAATTCAAGCCCCAGGACAGGAAAAAAAAAATGTTTTGTGAACAGAAGAAATTGAGAACAGAGGCCTGCAGCTTATATACTATAACATTGTTGCAGAATTTGAGGTACATGTTTTATAACTGCTTTGCTGCATAAGACTGACTTCTGCCTTTTATCTGCCAGGAAGAAGCTGAAAGCTGGATACCTAATGTCAGTGGAATCTTCTGAGGGTTTCCTAGATGAAGTTGGGTCCCAGTCTCTCATTGCCGGTTCCTATGTGCCACCCCCTGCCACCCTTCAGCAAATTGACACTGTCACTGATTCTGATGTCATAAATGTAAGCAAGATGAAATCTTAAGTATAGAGAATCTGACCTTAATGATCTAGTTCCTAAGTTTCCTTAGGCTCCATCTGCCTCTGGCCAGAGTAGAGGCAGGAGGCCCATCAAGAAATAGCCTCCTGGCTGGAAAGGTGGCTCAGTGGTAGAGTGCTTGCCTTGCATGCCTGAGGCCCTGGGTTCGATTCCTCAGCACCACATAAGCAAAAAGAAAAAAGCCGGAAGTGGCACTGTGGTTCAAGTGGTAGAGTGCTAGCCTTGAGCTGAAGAGCTGAGGGACAGCGCCCAGGCCCAGAGTTCAGGCCCCACGACCGGACCCAAAAAAAAAGAAATAGCTTCCTTGCTAACTTGCATGTAGCTTTCTCTTTAAAGAAATGACCATTAGATTAAAGCAATGTAAACTAAGTAGTCAATAAGATCTAAACACTGACAATTTCATATGATTCAACTTAAATAAATTGCTGCCTTTTCTCTTTACCCCAAATAATCATTTTGCCAATCCTTCACCATCCAGCTTTTCAGCATTAGATAATCTCCTGCAGGCTCTTTTGTTAGTGTTTTGGGTTTTTTTTTTTCCACATCTGCTATTCTACCCTATAAGAACAAGTTGTTTCAGAGGCTAGGACTTCCCTTGTCTTTTTGCTCTGCCTACTAAGCATGGGGACTACAGAATAAAGAGAAATCAGTGCGTTTTCCACAGTCATTCCCACATTTAAAACACTCCTTTTCTACCACAGATGTCAGTCAAAGTTCTCTCTGCCTAGACCTGCCTTGCTATATGATGCTTAACTGGCTTTTGAATTTAAAGGTGGCATAAAGAATATTGGAACTGGGGTGGGAGTGTATCTCACATAACCTAGAGGATACCTTACCAAGTAAGAGGTACTGAGTTCAAACCATGGTGCCACTATATATATATATATATGTGTGTGTGTATGTATGTATGTATATATACACACACATATGTGTGTGTGTGTGTGTGTATATATATATGTGTATATATGTGTGTATGTATGTGTATATATATATATATATATATATATATATATATATATATATACACATATATATGCGCCTTCTGAGGGCCTGGCTCAAAAATGCCTGCCACATAAAAAGTTCTGAGTTTGAACCCTAATACCACTCTCCCATCCAAAAAAAAATGGACAAGGGCTAGGACTGGCTTAGAGTTCTTGTCTAGCATGAAACCCTGGGTTCAATTCCTCAGTATCACAAACAGCAAAGGCCAGAAGTAGTGCTGTGGCTCAAGTGGTAGAATGCTAGCCTTGAGCAAAAGAAGCTCAGGGACAGTGCCCAGGGCCTGAGTTCAAGCCCCAGGACTGGCAAAAAAAAAGGACCAAGACTTGTAGACATGATGGCACTCACCTAGAATCCCAGCACTTGGAAGGCCTAGGCAGGAGGATCATGAATTTAAGGCCAGTCTATAGCAAAACCTCACCCACCCCTCCCCCCAAAAAAGACATAAAATTTGTTAACAGTCAGTGTATTTTTGATTCATGCAGACTAATTGCCATTATAATACAGAATCAAGTGCAGTCTTGCCTAAACCATTCTGCCCTGACTTGGAATATGAGATTTTTATCTCACTTGATCAGTTTCACATATGATCATATTTAAATAAAATCATGTACTAGCCATCTCATAGTAATTTTATAAGAGGCTCTTACAGAATTGCTACATTAGAATGTCCTAGCCTTAAACTGGTTGAAATGACATTTTATCTGCTTGATGATGTAAACGTATTTCTTTTAATTTTGTCTTTTTTTGTTTGTTTATTCAAAGGCTGCAAAGAAGTTTATTTCTGGCAAGAAGTCAATGTCAGCAAGTGGAAATTTGGCCACTACCCCTTTTGTTGATGAGTTGTAACCTGGAAGCTCTCATGGCAGGGCAGAGAAACATTTTCAGAGAAACCCTTCAGCATCAAAAGTCTCTTAACATGTATCTTTTTCTCAGTGAAGTGAAATACCTAAAGCATAAATACAGGTCATTATCTCAATGACCTGGAGACAATAAAACAGTCTGCTTAAGTGTTTTTCTTGCATTTTTTCTAGTTAAATATTTATTATATGTTTGTTTTATATTCTGTAAAGTTCACAGTAATAGAGTGATTACATCAACTAGTATTAGTGAAGAATTACCAGAAACTATTAAAATTAAAGCTAAGTGGCTATCAGGTTATCATTGGTGCGTTTATAAGATTCTAAACAAGTTGAAAATCTGCCATTTGAGAGTCACAGCAGTTAACTGATCTGGTTTTTACTACCTTTTTTGCAATAAGACTACTTCTGAAAAACAAATTCCTAATGAATCAAACCTGTTATACTATTACTTAATTTTATTTGTCACTGTGGCAATGCTTTCTCTAGTTCTCCCTCATCTCTTTCAAATAATTATTAGTGGCAAAACTTAAATAGTAGGGTTGCAAGAGGATTAAGGGAATTTCTAATGTGAACAACTTGCCAACAAATTTTTAAGAAAAATAAGGTATTTACCTTAAAAAGTTGGAAGTTCTCTACTATGTTCAGACCTTGTGATACTGGGTTCCTCTGCTATATTTTCTAAAAGATGATGGTAAATTCTTCCTAGAAAAGAGGGTCTTGACGACCCTCTTGGTGTTGCTGTTTGATTTGTGAAGCCTATGAAACTTCAGGCCATCTTTTAACTGTCATATTAAAGAAGGCCTCCAAAGTGCAGTCAAGGGAGGGACTTGGTCAGTCTAGACACATACCTATAAAAATTTTTGCAAACCTGTTACAAGACACAAAGCAAGAGGATTTCCAGAACAGATGCTCTTAAGAGCATCCTCGCAAACTGTCTCCTGACCAACCTTTGGTACTGGTTACCCCTTGCCCTTCTCCACTTGGGCATAGTCCTCCAACCAAAAGGCGTCTGAGGTAGAGGAGGCTGAGGAAGAGCTCTCTCTGTCATGCTTTACCATTGTCCAGTATGGAGATGGAGCTCTAGCTTCCCTCTGTGGATCTCTGTGAACCATCACGTCACTGTTGATATCTTTCCCAACACTAATCGCTTGACTCTTCTTTTTATATCCGTGCCATTCTCTGGAGATAGATAGTGGCCTCCTTGCAGCGTGATGCCAAACTGACCATGGATATCTATAGTACCTAAATCTCTTATCTAAAACTACATCTTCATTGTCATCACTACTTGCGGAAGAATTGTGTTTTTCCTGCTCAGGTTTCTTTGGTGTGCTGAAATGGGGAAAAAAAAGAAAAAAAATGATTATTAATGTCTCAACATTTATTGTCTTACTTTGATTTTTTTTTTTTAAAGACACTAAGCTGGGCACTGGTAGTACATACCTATAATCCTAGCTACTCAGGAGGTTGAGATCTGAGGTTCGTGGTTCAAAGCCAGCCCAAGCAAGAAAGGCTACAAGACTCTTACCTTCAATGAACCACCAGGAAATAACGTGGCACTGTGGCTCAAGTGCTCACCGTGAGCTGAAGAGCTCAGGACAATGCCCAGGCACTGAGTTCAAGCCTCATGACTGACCAAAAAGAACCTTTTATAAAAAAATTATCTTTCGTAGTTGTACAAAAGAGTTGGCATTTAACAAAGCCGTTTGTGAATACAGTGCCTCTTGATCTTTTATCATTCTCCCCCCCCCCCCCCCCCCCGTCCCTACCAATCTTTTCTCCTTTCCTCTAAAAGTACCTTTTTCTTCTCATCTTAAGTATGTCTAAGATCCTAAGTTATTTAATACCACTTTGTGCTAGATAACTGACCAGAATATGAACAGGCCTTAAGGATGCATTAATTTCACTCAAGCTAGAGTGGCAAGGGCAATGAGGCCATCTGAGAACTGTTCTCATGAATCATATGACAAGAATATAAGAAGGATCACCCACTCGGTGCCAGTGACTCACGCCTGTAATCCTAGCTACTCAGGAGGCTGAGATATGAGGATGTGGTTCAAAGCCAGCCCAGGCAGGAAAGTCCATGAGACTCATCTCCAATTAACCACCAGAAAACCAGAAGTGGCACTATGGTTCAAGTAGTAGAGCGCTGGTCTTGAGCTGAAGAGCTCAAGGACAGTGCCCAGGCCCAGAGTTCAAGTCCCATGACTGAGGAAAAAAAGAAGGATCACCTACCACTGGGAGTCAGGAATTCAGGAGAGTCATTAGTGAATACTGGAGTTTTGTTTTCTGTGCCAGTCGGAATTCAGGGCCTGGGCACTGTACCTGAGCTTTTTTGTTCAAGGCTAGTGCTCTACCACTTGAGCCACAGCTCTACTTCTAGCTGTTTTTGGTGGTTATTTGGAGATTAGAGTCTCACAAACTTTCCTGTCCAGGCTGGCTCTGAACTGCAATCCTCAGATATCAGCCTCCTGAGTAGCTAGGGTTATCAGCATCACTGCCCAGTGAGAGTCTTTAATTCCTGCCACATGGGGCATCATTTCTTAGTCTCTCATTGGTTCCCAGATCCAGATGTGTAGAGCATTCTTATACTTCAACCACATGTCAGCCACTCCTCAAAAGCATTAATGGTTTTCTCTGGGGTTTTTGTTTGTTTGGGGTTTGGCTTTGTTTTTCTGTAACTTGCCTCCGTTGTTGGCTTAATTATTGAAATATGCTGAGTGCCAGATGGCAACTATACAACCCTATGTGCTTACCAGTTCCCATAGCAAATGCTGTCACCTGCTCTTCCTCATCCTCACTAAATCGTTCATGATTAAAATCCTCTGACCTATTCTGTCCTGCTAATGTGAAGAAAGTTTCTTCCCTGAGACCACTGCCGTCCTGTCAGGCTTACTAGTGTTACTTCTATATTCCTTAGCCTGTCGTGGAGTGGGGCGGGGTGCAGGGTGCCAGGACGGCCTGGGCACTGTTTCTTAGCTTTTTCATTCTTTCACTTGAGCCACAGCTCCTCTTGCAGCTTTTTTTTTTTTTTTGGATGATTAATTGGAGACAAGAATCTTGAGGGGGGGAAGGGAGGACTGGGAAGGTGGCTCAGTGGTAGAGTGCTTGCCTTGCATGCATGAGGTCCTGGTTTCGATTCTTCAGCACCACATAAGCAAAAAGAAAAAAAAAGGCGGAAGTGGCGCTGTGGCTCAAGTGGTAGAGCGCTAACCTTGAGCTGAAGAGCTGAGGGACAGCGCCCAGGCCCAGAGTTCAGGCCCCATGACCGGACCCAAAAAAAAAAGTTTAAAAAAAAAAAAAAAGAATCTTGGATTTCCCTACCTGGGCTGGCTTTCAATCATGATCATCAGATAGATCTGATGGCATTTGCCACCAGCCACCAGCTCTTTAACCTGTTTTGCTTCCTAAAATGTATCTGTTCCAGAAACATGCAGCCGAAAATGAGCCATTTCTACTGAAAGCCACTAATCTTAAGTGGTGTGACTTTTTTTTTTCTAATCCTTGATTTAGGGTTGTAAAGGAGATTCAAATAGTCTCAGAACTACAATAGTTGTTCTGACACTCGGTCTTCCTGAATACATAAGTGGGGGAGGGGAGGAGGAAAACCCAGGGTGCTTTTTTGTTTTTCCAGCAGCAAGAGGTATTTAAAAAGTGGAGCTGTGGCTCAAGTAGTAGAGCCATACCCTTGAGGAGGAAAAAAAAGGCCCAGCGACAGTACCCAGGCCCTGAGTTCAAGCCCCAGAACATAACACCAAAAAAATTTCACTTGTTTCCTTCCTAGACCTGTTGACTCACAAATGTAATCCTAGCTACTCAGGAGTCTGAGACCTGAGGATCCCAGTTCAAAGCCAGTGTGAGCTTTGTGGCTCAAGTGGTAAAACATTAGCCTTGAGCAAAAATGACCTATCTTGTGGTTTTTAAGAGAAACCAGAAGTACAGGTTCTTTCCATGAAATCCTAGTTCTGCAAATTTAGTAACTAGTTCCAATAGTTTTCATTTTAAAATGTTTGCAGAGAATACAGCTGTGGCTCAAAGTGGTAGAGCACTAGCCTTGAGCAAAAGGCCTCAGAGATAGCACCAAGGTCCTAAGTTAAAGCGTCACAACAACAAAAAGTTTGCAGTAGAAAACTCAAATTTATTATAAAAACCCAGGTCAAAAAAATAGGAGTGGGAAGTGGTGCTGTGGCTCAGGCGGTAGAGCGCCCACCTTGAGCTGAAGAGCACAGGGACAGTGCCCAGGCCAAGAGTTCAAGCCTCAAGACTGACAAAATTTAAAAAAAAAAGGGGGAGTGTTACTGACCTCTGGATAAGGCCACCTTGTTTCTGTTTTTCTCTACATAGCTCACTGCACTTTTGGTATAAGGGGTTTTGTTTATTGTTTTGTTTTTTGTTGGTTGTGGGGCTTGAGTTTAGAGCTTGGGCACAGTCCCTGAGCTTCTCTGTGCTCATGGCTAGCCCTCTACCACTTGAGCCACAGCTCCACTTCCGGCTTTTGAGTAGTTAGTTGGAGATAAGAGTCTCATAGAGTTCCTTGCAGGCTGGATTCGAGCCACAATTCTCAGATCTCATCCTCCTGAGTAGCTAGGATTACAGGCATGAACCACCAGTACTTGGTGGGGAGGGGTTGTTTGTTGGCTTGGTTTGGTTTGTTGTTGGTGGGAGTTTTTTTATGCTGTGGGAGTTAAGCAAAGCACATCTGTGAGACACATTAGATGCTTGGGCCACAAGTTTGAGTCTCTGAAATATAGCTGATATATAAGATGGGTCTTTTTTTACCCTTCACAAAGCCCTGAGTCATATCCCCACAAGCAAGGCTGCATAGCTACAGCTACCAGTGTTCAGAAGTCCTGGGAGAATTGAGGGCTACTCTTGCACGAGAGCTCTGAATTTGTTACTAAAGAAAGGATCTGCTGGGTGCCTGTGGCTCACGCCTGGCATCCTAGCTACTCAAGAGACTGAGATTTGAGGATCATAGTTCAAAGCCAGCCCAGGCAGAAAAGTCCATGAGACTCTGATTTCCAATAAACCAGTAGAAAACCGGAAGTGGCGCTCCGGCTCAAGAGGTAGAGTGCTCACCTTGAGCTGAAGAGAGCAGCGACAGTGCCCAGGCCCAGAGTTCAAGCCCCATGACTGACAAAAAAAAAAAAAGGATCTCATATTCTACATTTCCTCCTGTCCTATAGAACAGGTACAGCTGATCCTTAGAAGAGTTCTTGTTTCTCCTGTTAAAGAAGAAAACTCTCAGAGATTATGTAGGGGATTTGTCAAGATTCAAAGCTAGATTTCAAGTTCTCATTCATCCATTCAATAAATGAGCCTTTCACCGTATGGAAGGCTTAGAACAACAATAGTAGATTTAGAACAAAACAGATTTGGTCCCTGATTTCATGAAGTTGACATATTCCCAGGGAGACAGAGTAAACAACTGGTTGTAACTAGTTAGAGTTGGTATCAGCCTAATGCCAGTGGCTTACAACTGAATCCTAGCTACTAAAGGGGCTGTGATCTGAGGATCAAGGTTTGAAGCCAGCCCAGGCAGGAAGTCCAGGAGACTCTTGTCTCCAATTAACCACAAAAAGGCCAGAAGTGGAGCTGTGGCTCAAGTGGTAGAGCATCAGCCTTGAGAAAGGAAAAAAAAAAAAAAGCTAAAGGACAGTAACCACGCCCTGAGTTCAAGCTCCAGTACACACACACACACACACACACACACACACACACACACACACACACACACACACAATGTGATAAGAGTGAATGACAGTTTTGGGCTTTGTTTTGTTTTGTTTTGTTTTTGTCGGTCGTGGGACCTGAACTCTGGGCCTGGGCGCTGTCCCTCAGCTCTTCAGCTCAAGGCTAGCGCTCTACCACTTGAGCCACAGTGCCACTTCGGCTTTTTTCTTTTTGCTTATGTGGTGCTGAGGAATCGAACCCAGGGCCTCAGGCATGCAAGGCAAGCACTCTACCACTGAGCCACCTTCCCAGCCCGTTTTGGGTTTTGACAGCAGGCCTCTACACATGTTATAGACAAAAAAGCAACACATGGGATGGAAGCAGGACTCCACAGTAGAGGCCCTGCCTAGCAAGTGCTATCCTCTGATTTCAAGCCCCAGGATCACCAGAAACAAAAAAAGACAAATAAATACAAAGCAGAAAACTAAAAGCCGAATGGAGAAAAGAGTCTGAGATAAAGCTAGACTATAGATCACATAGGCTAAGAGAATATACTAAAAATTTAAGACAGAACATACCATGATCCAATTTGGAGTATAGAGCAGTCATCCCATATAAAAACTGAATAGGAAGCCAAGTGCTGGTGGCTCACGCCTGTCATCCTAGCTACTCAGGAGGCTGAGATCTGAGGATCATAGTTCAAAGCCAGCCCAGGCAGAAAGTTCATGAGACTTTTGTCTACAATTAAACACCAGAAAAAGCCAGAAGCAGAGATCTAGCTCTGGTGGTAGAGCACCAGTCTTGAGAACACAAGCAGGGAGACTGATCAGGCCCTGAGTTCGAGCCCCAGGACTAGCACCAAAACAAACAAAACTAAATAAGAGGCGAGAATAGATGCAGGTAGACCAAATGGAGGATTTGGGATGATTAGAGGCAGGAAGAAGCACAGTGTGAGAAGACTGGAAGTTGTGAAAAAGCTTAGTGATTGATTTAGAACAAATAGGGGACAATGGAAAAGTCAAACACAGCCCTAAATTTCTAGCTTATTCAACTAGGCAAACACCTCCTCCCCCAAGATCGGGCCACTGGAAGATCACTGTTGTATGATTTGAGTACAAACTTTCTGCAGAAGTTTCATGTGGTGAATACTTGCTCCTAGCTAAACGTCGCTGTTTTCTGTGGCTCTAGAAACTTCAGGAGATGCTCCATGGCTGGAGAAAAATTAACCAGCCAAAACAGAAAAAAAGAAAAAGAAAAGCCAGAAGTAGAAGTGTGCCTCAAGTGGTAGAGTGCCAGCCTTGAGAAGAAAAAGACAAGCAAAATCCCTGAATACAAACCCCAGAACTAGCACCAAAAAAAGCGGGTGTGGGGAGAGGGACTTACATGCCACTGGGAAAAATAACAGAGAGTAATAAATTGGCAATGCAAAGAGAAAGGAGAGTATAATTGCCAGCATCTAAGTTTTTTGTATTGGGGCAGGGGTTGTATATGGGTGTGGGTATAGCTGCTCTAGAGCCTGGGCACTGTCCCTGAGCTTTTTTGTTCAAAGCTAACTTTGAACCATAATCCTCAGATCCCAGCCTCTTGAGTAGCTAGGATTACAGGTGTGAGCGCCAAGCACCGTCAGCGTATGTTTTAAGGGCTGATCAGATGGATACATTGCAGGTAGGTTTGGGGACAGAGTTCTTAGCAATACCTGCTGGTTGTTTTTGAACTCCAAATTACCTTTATCCTGTTTCTTCATGTAAGGGTCTGCAGAATCCTTTCCAAAAGGGTCTAGAAAGTCACAGAATTATTCTGGCAGTGTCATTAATTTCCTTTTCTACAGCTCTTTAACATCTGATGAATCTGCATTAAACCAAGACCCTGTGCTCCCCAGACCCGGGGATTCTGTACTGTAACAGAGTTCCTAAATTGAATTACTTACTGTTGTTCTGGAGATTTGGCTTCTGGGATCAAATTGTATATTTCTTGCCATTCTTGGGGTATGTCGATAAAATCTCGATAAACTTTGATTTGTAGCACTGTTCCTATGGTGATATGTTGCAAAAGCTTTAAAAATTCTCGAAGAGTATATCCTAATACATTGGCGTAGCCAACACTAATCAGAACATCCCCTGGAGAAGGAAAAATAGTATGAATAAAATGAAGAGAATGGGTTGAAGAGGGCCATACTAGTTGCTGGCTTTCTTGAAAACAACTTAATTTTATGGGTTCATATTGTTGGGTTGTTTTGGATCAAGGCCAGGCTTTAGGCTCTAGTTATTAAAAAACGTTTATAGCAGCCAGGCACCCGTGACTCAGGCCTGTAATCCGAGTTACTCAAGAGACTGAGATCTGAGGATCATGGTTTGAAGCCAGCCTGGCAAGAAATGCTATGAGACTCATATCTCCAATTAACCACCAGAAACTAAAAGTGGAGGTATGGCTCAAGTAGTAGAATGCCGCTTTTTTTTTTTTTTGTCGGTCATGGCTAGCGCTCTACCACTTAAGCTACAGCGCCACTTCTGGTTTTCTGGTGGTTTATTGGAAATAAGAGTTTCATGGACTTTCCTGCCCGGGCTGGCTTTGAACCGCCATCCTCAGATCTCAGCCTCCTGTATAGCTAGGATTACAGGCATGAGCCACTGGCACCTGGCTAAAATGCCAGCTTTGAGTGAAAAGCCTAAGGGACACTGTGCAGTCCCTGAGTTCAAGCATCAGTACCAGCACACACACACACACACACACACACAACACCACTTACTTTTTTGACAATTATTTTCTCTCTGTGTGTGCACAGGGCTTGAACTTAGGGTCTGTATGCTGTCCCGGGTCTGTATGCTGTCCCTTTGCTTATATGTGTGTGTGTGTACATGCACGTGCGCATGCACACACACATACGTGGTTGTGCACATGTGAGCTTGCACTCAGATATTGGGTACTATCCCCCTGCTTTTTCACTGGAGGCTGGTGCTCTTCCACTTAAGCCACACCTCCACTTTCAGCTTTCAGCTTTTTGCTCTCATGAGCTTCTCTGCTTGTTGGCTAGCTTCTATCCTCAAATCTCAGCCTCTTGAGTAGCAAGGATTATAGGGATGAACACCAGCACCCTGCCAACACAACTGTTCTTTGGATAATGAGGAATGTCTTGAAGGGTGAACAAATGCAGCAGTGCTACTCACTAGCCACTATGTGGAAAATGAACTACACAACTTGTGGGTGGGAGATAGGAGGGAAAAACTGGGAGAGAGTGAAGGAGGAGGTGACTTTGTCCAAAAGAGAAATGTACTTTCTACCTGACTTACATAACTATAACCCCCCCGTATATCATCTTTATAATAACAATTAATTTTGTGTTGTTGTTGGGTGTGGTGGTTGTGGGGCTTGAACTCAGGGCCTGGGTACTGTCCCTGAGCCACTTTGTGTTCAAGGCTAGTTCTCTACCACTTGAGTCACAGCACCCCTTCTGGCTTTTGAGGGGTTAATTGGAGATAAGAGTCTCATGGCAACTTTTCTGCCCATACTAGCTTTGAACCGTGATCCTCAGATCTTAGCCTCCTGAGTAGCTAGGATTATAAGCATGAGCCACCGGCGCTAGCTGACAATTAAAAAATAATAATAATTTTTTAAATGTTGGGCTGGGAATGTGGCTCAGTGGTAGAGTGACATTGGTTGTAATTCTCTGCTCCCGTGCAGAATTATAGTTGGGAAAACCATTCTGGATGAAAGATTGTAAGTTAGCTTGCCTTAATTGTACATAAGATGTGGAGGCAGAACATATCTTGGTTCAAAGCAATTTTATAGCTAGACCTACTTTAGGAAATCTTGCTGTGTACTGAGACTTGAACCCAGTACCTCTCACTCTCTCTTGACTTCTTTGCTCAAGGCGAGCACTCTACCACTTGAGCCATGATGCCACTTCCAGATTTCTAGTGGTTAATTGGAGATAAGAGTCTCACTGACTTTCCTGCCTGGGCTGGCTTTGAACCTTGACCCTTAGATTTCAGCCTCCTTAGCAGCCAGGATTACAGGTGTGGGTCCCAGCACCCAACAGGTCTTCTATTTTAGGGCAATGTTGAACAGAAAGACAGAGGCATGGCAGCCCTGGAGCTTTTATTGCAGCTTGGCAACAAAGCCCTGACCCCCAAAAGGGAGAAAACTTTAGTAATTTTTTTTAAATAAAACTAAAAACAGTGAATCCTGTCTACTCATCTCCCCCACCCTAGCAGCAAAGACACTGACAGGAACAGCACCACCCAGCCACCAGGTGCTCCTATCTGGGCCAGTGAACTTAGAGCCGGAGGGCAGGAAGTGTTCCTAGGACTAGCTCCATGTGGCCCTCTTCTCTCACCACCTTCTCCAAGCCTTGCTCTCCAGCCTTTCTGGCAAATCTATCAAAGGCTTGTATCCTAAATTCAGTACCTTACAGAATAACAGAACCATTTTCTAATGCCTGCAGTGAAGAATTCTTTTTTTTTTTTTTTTGGTCCGGTCGTGAGGCCTGAACTCTGGGCCTGGGCACTGTCCCTCAGCTCTTCAGCTCAAGGCTAGCACTCTACCACTTGAGCCACAGAGCCACTTCCGGCTTTTTTCTTTTTGCTTATGTGGAGCTGAGGAATCGAACCCAGGGCCTCAGGCATGCAAGGCAAGCACTCTACCACTAAGCCACCTTCCCAGCCCCTGCAGTGAAGAATTCTGAAGGCCACTTGCAATCAGCAAAGGCTTTGGGGAAGGAATGCAAAAGATTTGCTGCTGCTGCTGCTGCTTCATCTTTTTTGCCAGTCCTGGCCCAGGTACTGTCCCTGAGCTGCTTTTGCTCAAGGCTAGCACTCTACCACTTGAGCCACAGTGCCACTTCTGGTTTTTTCTGTTTATGTGGTGCTGCAAGGCAAGCACTCTACCACTAAGCCACATTGCCAGCTCCCAAAAGATTTGCTTCTTGGAGCTGGGAAGGTGGCTCAGTGGTACAGTGCTTGCCTTGCATGCATGAAGCCCTGGGTTCGATTCCTCAGCACCACATAAGCAGAAAAAAAAGCCAGAAGTGGCACTGTGGCTCAAGTGGTAGAGCGCTAGCCTTGAGCTGAAGAGCTGAGGGACAGCACCCAGGCCCAGAGTTCAGGCCCACAACCGGACCCATCCCCCCCCCCCAAAAAAAAAAAGATTTGCTTCTTAAGGACAAACTCAGCAGAGTACTGGTGGCTCACACCTGTAATCCTAACTACTCAGGAGGCTGAGATCTGAGGATCCTGGTTCAAAGCCAGCCTAGGCAAGAAAGCCTATGTGACTCATCTCCAATTAACCACAAAAACAAAAAAAAAACAGAAGTGGTAGAACACCAGCCTTGATGGAAAAATCCAAATGAAAGTCCAAGGCCCTGAGTTCAAGTCTCAGTTCCAATACATACATAAGAGAGAGAGACAGAGCGAGAGAGCGAGAGAGAGAGAGAGCGAGAGAGAGAGAGAGAGAGAGCGAGAGAGAGAGAGAACAGATTTTTCACATTGGGTAAAATTTTTGTCTTCACTGGGCACTAGTGAATCAAGCCTGTAATCCTAGCTACTCAGAAGGCTGAGATCTGAGGATCAAAGTTTGAAGGTAGTCTGGGCAGGGGAGTCCATGAGACTTTTATCTCCAATTAACCACCAGAAGATCCGATGTGGAGCTGTGGTTCAAATGGTACAGAGCAAAAAAGCCCTGGGAAAGGAGAGGAGAGGACAGGAAAGGGGAAGGGAAAGGGAAGGAAAGGGAAGGGAAGGGAAGGGAAAGGAGAAGGAAAAAAGGAGGAAGGAAGGAAGGAAGGAAGGAAGGAAGGAAGGAAGGAAGGAAGGAAGGAAGGAAGGAAGGAAGGAAGGAAGGAAGGAAGGAAGGGAAGAAAAGGATTATTTATAGTCAAAAGGTAATGGCTTGTCATTTTGCTTAATTGTGTTGTAAGAGGGTGACTTTTATTAAAAGAGCAGAACACAAACAGCTTAATTCCCTGACCATTTTGGCTGTGAAGTAAGCATGTCAGGTTGTGAATGTGATTGCTCTGATGGCAAATATTAATATTGCCCTTCATGAAGAGGCTTCAGTTTAGTATTTATGAACAACCACCTCTCATTATATCTCTTTTCTGTTTTTAACAAGCTGTAGGAATGACAGGCACCAGTAGCTCACACCTGTAATCCTAACTCTTTAGGAGGCTGAGCTCTCAGGATAAAGTTCAAAGCCAGCCCAGGCAGACAAATGGAAGAGACTCATCTCCAAAAAGCTGAAAGTAGAACTGTGGCTCAAGTGGTAGAGCACCAGACTTGAGCAAACAAGCTTGACAGTACTTGGGCCCTGATTTCAAGCCTCAGAACTAGCATAAACAAAAAGTCTGAATTACTGGGTCTTGGAAACTTGGTTGAACTCCCTCTTCAGTAAAGGCTCACTTTTAGTTCTTAAGTAGTAATTGACTAGGGAGCTATGTTTCTAGGAATATACCAGTTTGGATCCCCAGCTCTGGCCACAGACGTGGCTGTGTATAAGTGAACAAATTACTTCATCTACATGGGTGATTAAATTTCATGATCTACATTCCAGGAGTGTCACAAAGATTAAATTCAATAATAGATGCAGGGCTGGGAAGGTGGCTCAGTGGTAGGGTGCTTGTTTTGCATGCTTGAGGCCCCGGGTTCGATTCCTCAGTACCTCAGAAACAGAAAAGGCCAGAAGTGGTGCTGTGGTTCAAGTGGTAGAGTTCTGGCCTTGGGCAAAAGAAGCTCAAGGACAGTGCCCAGGCCCAGAGTTCAAGTCCCAGGACTGGAAAAAAAATAATAATAGATGCAGAAATACCTCATACAATGCCTGGGACAAATAATCATTCACTGTTCATTTATTAAGCACAGACCAATAAATGTGCCAACACTATTTTCTCCTTTCCTTCCTTCCTTCCTTCCTTCCTTTTTCTCTTTTTTCCCTTCAGTGCCAAAATTGGTAGCAACTGGGCCTGAGTTCTGAGCAGATGCCCTGAAAAGTCTTCCACTCCCCCACTTCTGCATCCCTGAGCATCCCCTATTTCTGGGCACAGCACCAGGCCCAGGGCAGGCCCTGGGAAAACACAGATACAAAACACAGTCACTCAAAGACCTGAGAAGTAGGGTGCTATTCTTGGCAAGGCCCTTGACCACTGCAGTCCTAGAGGGGGTTTCAAATCCCAGCTCCTTGGAATGACTGCAATCAAGTTACTAAATACATACTTCCTGGGGCTGGGAATGTGGCCTAGCGGTAGAGTGCTTGCCTAGCATGTATGAAGCCCTGGGTTCGATTCCTCAGTACCACGTAAACAGAAAAAGCTGGAAGGGGCGCTGTAGCTCAAGTGGTAGAGTGCTAAGCCTTGAGTAAATGAAGCTCAGGGATAGTGCGCAGACCCTGAGTTCCAGCCGTAGGACAGGCAAAAAACAAACAAACAAACATTCTTCCTTTGTCTGTAAGGTGGGTGGTGCAGAATCTACCTCTGAGGTTTTCGGTAGGGCAACGTGAAGACATGCACACAGATGCTCGCAATGAATGGTAGGGCCTAAGAAAAGGAAAAATTATTGTGCACAGAGTCAGGCTTTGGAATGACACTATGCTTACGAGATAAAGGTAGACCTGGACAAGGAACTCATTCTCATTGGCTTCAGTTTCTTCACCTGTAAAAGTTGGGGAGGGGAGGTGGTTTACAGTTCCCACGTAGGGTTATCATAAAAATTAAATGAAAACTGGCCACCGGTGGTGCGTGCCACAATCCTAACTACTCGGGGGTTGATATTTGAGGTTCATGGTTCAAAAAGCGTGCTAGGCATGGGTGGCTGTTTAGGAGGCTGAGATCTGAGGACCACATTTCAAAGCCAGCCAAGCAACAGAGTCTGTGAGACTCTTCTCTCCAATAAACCACCTAAAAGCCACAAGTGGCGCTATGGCTCAAGTGGTAGAGTGCTAGCCTTGAGTATGAAGAAGCTCAGGGACAGCACCCAGTCCTTGAGTTCAAGCCCCAGTACTGGTAGGAAACAACAACAACAAAAATCTTAATAGCACATCAACAATGAGAGCTATATAAATGTTAGCAACTGGCTGCCCTTTTGAAAGCTCCTGACTCCCTGGAGGCAGGCGGGAGGGAGGCCGGGGGAAGGCATGGTTGGGAGGCTTGGGGAGACCACTCACCTGGCTTGAGTTTCCCATCCTTGGCGGCAGCACCCTTCTTGATGAGGTGCGTGATCTGAAGGTAGGGCCCGTGTTGGATGATGACGAGACCCAGCCCCAGGCTGCTCACAGTGAGTTTGGTCTTCTGAGTTCTGCTCAAGTTGTGTACAGAGGCTTTGGCCTTGAAGCTGACTCGTCTTTCTGACAGAGAGCAGGGGACATGTTTCAATCACTGATTAAAACAGCACCATGGATGCCCCACCACAGATGAATGGATCCAAAAACTGTGGTATCTATACACAATGGAATATTATGCAGCCATTAGAAATGACAAAATAATGGCATTTGCAGGGAAATGGATGGAGCTAGAAGGAATCATGTTGAGTGAGGTAAGCCAAGAGCAAAGAGACAAACGGTACATGGTCTCCCTGATAAATGGATGCTAAATCCAAAATGTTAGGTGATACGACAAAACTAACAGGACTTAAGAAACAAAGAACTCCCACTCATCTGGTCGAACCACTACTAAATATCCCCATGCTGCTGATCACATGCATGGTGTATATGTGTACACCGTTATATGTTATAGACTGTGATAGACAATTTGCTCCAGGAAAGTTAGAATGAATTTGTGACTTTAAATGAGCATCATTATTCCACAATACTGTGAAATTTGGGAAATTATGTAATCACTTAATCACAATTAAAAAACAAAAAAGAACCTCGGGGAAGGTAGGGAGGGAAGGGATGGTAGGAAGAAAACAATGGAGGGGGTAACAATGCTCAATAGGAAGTGTACTCATTACCTCACTCATGCAACTGTAACCCTCTGTATAGTATCTTTACAATAAAAATTTTTTTAAAAATTATTAAACTAAAAAAAAAACAGCACCGTGGCAAATTGGCCCTAGGGTTCTGAAGCTAAACTCCTGCCACAGCTACTGTGAAAGTGTTATGGGACATACACGTGTGTGTGCACAATCACATCTTGAACTTCAGGACCTGGGCTATGTCTTTTAGTGTTTTACTCAAGGCTGGCACTCTACCACTGAAGCCACGGCTCCACTCCTGGCTTTTTGCTGGTTAACTAGAAATAAAAAAAATCTCCTGGGGCTGGGAAGGTGGCTCAGTGGTAGAGCACTTGCCTTGCATGCATGAGGCCCTGAGTTCGATTCCTCAGCACCACATAAGCAGGAAAAAAAAAGCCGGAAGTGGCGCTGTGGCTCAAGTGGTAGCGCGCTAGCCTTGAGCTGAAGAGCTGAGGGACAGCACCCAGGCCCAGAGTTCAGGCCCACGACCGGACCCCAAAAAAAAAAAAAAAAAAAATCTCCTGGATTTGTCTGCCAGAGCTGGCTTTGAACCATGACCCTCAAATCTCAGGCTCCTGGGCAGTTAGGATTACAGGCATGAGCTACTGGCACCCAGCAATGTTATAGGAATTAAATAAGACCATTAAAGGGTCATTGCACAAAGCCTCGTCCACCGACGGTGCTTAACTGGTGTTATCTATTCACTTAACATATATTTATTGATTCTAGGCAGTGTGGGTAGGCCCTGGTTTTACTGTGGTAAGCCAATGCATATTTCTGTGTGTGTGTGTGTGTGTGTGTGTGTGTGTGTGTGTGTGTGCGCACAGGACCTGGGGCTTGAACTTAGGACCTTGGTGCTGTCTCTGACTTTTTTTTTCTCAAGACTAGCATTCTATCACTGGAGCCACAATTCCACTTCCAGGTTTTGGTGATTCATTGGAGATTTCCTGCCTGGGTTGGCTTTGAGCCTCAATCTTACGATCTCAGCCTCCTGAGTAGCTAGGATTATAGGTGTGAGCCACTGGTGACTGATTGCATGTTTCTTATCTGTAAGGATATAACATATTACAGCTTAGTGGAGTAGACAACTGCCAGGCATTTATGCAAATGTAAATTGAGCAGCTGTAACCTGTGCAATGAAAGGAAAAGGCAAGAGAGTGCCAGGGTGGTAACAAGGAGCCAAGGTCCCATCTCACCTTGGGACAGTGGATTAGGCTTCTGGGAAAAAAACAAAACAAAAAATGAATCAAGAGTCAAAGAACCAATAGAAAGCCAGGCACCAGTGGCTCACGCCTGTAATCCTACTACTCAGGAGGCTGAGATCTGATGATCAGAGTTCAACGCTAGCCCGGGCAGCAACAATCTGGGAGACCTTTATCTCCAATTAACCACCAGAAAACCCAGAAGTGGCACTGTGGCTCAAGTGGTAGAGTGCTCGCCTTGAGCCTGAAGAGCACCCAGGCTCAGAGTTCAAGCCCATGACCGACAAAACAAAGAAAGAAAGAAAAAAGAACCAACAGGAAATATTTTGGCAAAGGAAGATGGGAAAGAGCAAACCTCCTCAAGGTTCTAGACAGGACAGGATGAGTCCTGTTGAAATATGAGAAGATTAGTAAAAGTGGGGGGAGGGCAGCTGGTGCTCAGGTTGATTCCAAGGAAAAAACAGATGTCATTGAAGCTGGATGTGACCAGATTTGCTTTTTTTTTTTCCCTTGGTTGATGGGCTTGATCTCAAAGCCTGGGTGGTGTCCCTGAACCTCTTTGTGGCTCAAAGAGAGCACTCTACAACTTGAGCCACAGCGCCACTTCAGTTTTTGACTGGTTAATTGGAGCTAAGAGTCTCATGGGGACTTTTCTGCCTGGGCTGGCTTCAAACCATGATCCTCAGATCTCAGCCTCCTGAGTAGCAGTGCCTAGCTTAGATTTGCATTAAAAAAAAAAAAAAAAAGAATCACTGTTTTGGGCATGGTGGTTCATGCCTATAATCTTAGCTACTTAGGAAGCTGAAATCTGAAGATCTCAGTTTGAAGCCAGCCCAGACAGGAAAAAAAAAAATCCATGATTTCCAATTTTTCAGCAAAAAAGCCAGAGATGGAGCTGTGACTACAGTGGTAGTGTGCCAGCCTTGAGGGGAAAAAAAAAGTCAAGTAAAATTGTCCTGGTTTTTAGTTCAAGCTCCAGGATTGGCACCATAAATATAAACTACTACTACTACTACTATTAGTAATAATAGTGGCTGCTGTGTGTTTTGTGGGTTGAGGCCCAGAGTAGATTGAAAAAATATAAAAGGTATTACAGTCACTGAAGTATGTCATCATTGTGACCCAGGAAATGGTTAGAAGATGGATTCAAAGACCTTTGGGAAGAAAATCCAAAGATCTTAGGGAAAACTGGTTGTGTGTGGGAGGAACTGAAACTTATTTTCTCCAGAACCACATCTCACAAGCAAATATTATTTAAAACAAGGGCCTCCCCTCGGCCCACCCCAAGAAGCTTTTAGAAGGCTCCTCCTTTTTTGTGCACAGATTTCTGGACAGAGCTGTTTTCAATAACCCTTACCAACATTACACCCCCAATTCCTGTCACAAAGACTAGCAACATGCTCCAGCTTGCCTTTGCTGAGTTCATGTGATGTTTTTCAGGGCTCCCACAGTTTTTGGGAGCTCATGGGTAATCTGAACCCTTTCCTCAAAGCCCATCTCCAACTCCAGTTTGCAAATTACATGTGCTTATCATGGAATCTAGTTTCAAAAGACAACAGAGTTAAGAGAAGCCAGACTCAAGAAGCTTCATTGATGACTCCCATTTTTTTTTCATTGTCATTTCCTTTTTCATGTCCAGGGGCTTGAACTCAGGGACTGGATGCTGTTCCTAAGTTTTTTTTTGCCTAGTGCTCTACCACTTGGGTCACATCTCTACTTCCAGGTTTTTGGTCGCACAAAGTTTCCTGCCCAGGCTGGCTTTGAACTGTGATCCTCAGATCTCAGCCTTCTGAGTAGCTAGGGCTACAGGTGTCAGCAACTGACACCTGACAATTCCATTTTATTTTTTATTTTATTTTTTGGTCAGTCATGGGGTTTGAACTCTGGGCTTGGGTGCTGTCCCTTAGCTCTTCAGCTCAAGGCAAGCACTCTACCACTTGAGCCACAGCACCACTTCCGGTTTTCTGGTTAATTGGAGAGAAGAGTCTCACAGACTTTCTTGCCCTGGCTGGCTTTGAACAGTGATCCTCAGATCTCAGCCTCCTGAGTAGCTAGGATTACAGGTGTGAGCCACTGGCGCCCAGCTTGACTCCCTTTTTTAAAATGACCTTCTCCACAGAAAATGAGTGTGTGTGGAGGAAGGGGTAGGCTGCCAAGGCCAGACGCTGGGTAATTCTGGGGGTGGTGGGCCTGCTCCTGACCTTGACTGTCGTGGTGATGGTTCAACGTGGGTCTACGTGAGTCAAAGCTCATAGATCTGTCCACTAAGAAGCAAGGTCCTTACCATCTGGAGATTACACCTTGATAACAATTGGCTAGAGGTCATCTACCAAGCCCATGGTGCCTCCGACCCTATTCTGCATGGGGCACAAGAGGCAAGAAGGCCAGCCACCCACATCACCACCCTCTCCCTACCCCCCATTACCAGTTTTGCTTTTCTGGGAGGCCCTCTCCATGACCCCGGGGGGCGGGCGGCTCGGGATCGCCTCCCGGGGGCGAGGCTGGAGTCGTTCCAACTCCCAACAGTTTGGAATCCCGAAGCCCGCGCCCGGCGCCGGTCAACCGCGGTCAACCAGGGGCCCCAACCGCGGGCAGAGGGCCGACTTGGGGCGCCGTCCTGAGACGGCCGCCAGGCGGCGCTGCGAGGCCGCAGCCCAGGATTTGGGCTGCTTTGTATACCGCAAGGGAAATCACCAGAGCTGCCAAGCAAAGGCCACGTGTGAAAACTTTCAGTGACAAGGAAACTTCTGCTGGACCAATCGGAGTGCAAGGCTCACACACTTGAGTTCTTCGTTTATGGTGAAACCCTGAAATGGAGACTGGGAGAAGAAGATCACAGGAGATCTCAGAATACTTAGAAGATCCTAGACACACACACACACACACACACACACACACACACACACACACACACACACACAGAAGATCCTAGACGCACACACTCACACACATACACAGAAGATCCTACACACATACACACACAGAGAATATCCTAGACACACACACACACGCACACACACACTTAAAAGATCCTAGAGACACACACACACACACACACAAACTTAAAAGATCCTAGACACACACACACTCACACACACACACACACAGAAGATCCTAAACACACACACACACACACACACACACACACAAAGCCGAGCTCCTGGTGATGGTATTTGCAATACAGTTGTATCAACAGCTCCAACTGCTTTTCCACTGTGCTTTACTTATGGATACCTTGAATGAGAAAAGGCCAAGGGTTGGCTGAAAACAATGAGTCACTATTAGGCAAGGAATGAATGCTTCCTTCTTGCTAGATCTTCTTTTTTCTTTCCAAAATAATAATCCTCCCTCCCATACAGACTCGCTCATACAACAAATATTCACGGGAAGCTGCTCTGTGGTTTGTGGGAATGTGAAGGAGATAGTAGACAAGACAGGACTCTATCCTCTTGGAACTTATATTTACTACATAGATGAAAATATAAATTATGGAAGAAAGAGGAAATGATGTACTTATTTATTCCCATGATGAAACAGAAAAAGGTTAATCCCTTGTCCAAGGGCATTCAGCCTGTCAACATAGTTGCTAAATACCCATTCAATGTATCAGGCACTATCCAGAGAGTTATTATTTTTTGGGGGGGGTCCGGTCGTGGGGCCTGAACTCTGGGCCTGGGCGCTGTCCCTCAGCTCTTCAGCTCAAGGCTAGCGCTCTACCACTTGAGCCACAGCGCCACTCCCGGCTTTTTTCTTTTTGCTTATGTGGTGCTGAGGAATTGAACCCAGGGCCTCAGGCATGCAAGGCAAGCGCTCTACCACTGAGCCACCTTCCCAGCCCCCTGCACCCTCAAGTTTTATAGTTCATTTTCAACATAGTGTCCAGTTAGTACCACTGCTTCATTTGTTTTCTGGTTTTTGGTTTTGGGGGGTTTTTTTGGGCAGTCATGGGGCTTGAATTCTGGGCCTGGGCACTGTTCCTGAGCTCTTCAGCTCAAGGTGAGCACTCTACCACTTGAGCCACAGCGCCATTTATCGCTTTTTTCTGTTCATGTGGTCTGAGGAATCGAACCCAGGGCCTCACACATGCAAGGCAAGCATTTAGCCACCTTCCTGTAAGGTCCGCTCCTGGATGGCTAGCAGACTCCACCCTCCTCACAGCAAAGTCTCCGCCCAGTACCTGCGTTACCTAGGCAACTGACACACCTGGAAGAGGTCACATCTGCATCTGCTGAGGTCACATCTGAATTTGATGTGCCCACACCTTTCTCCGCTCATACCCTAGATAAGGCCTAACACAGGCCCAGACGCCCTCTTTCCCAGCCTCTTTCCTAGGTCTTTCTCAGGTGTTTCCCAGGCCTTTCCCAGTCTAGTGGAGGGCCAACATGGCCTGGTGCCAGCCAGAACGATGAATAAACCTACCCCTTACCTGAATACCACGTGTGTGGTGCTGTTCTTACTCGGCTACCTCTTTTTATTTTTTTTTTTTTTTTTTTTATTTTATTTTTTTATTGTAAAGCTACTATACAGAGGGTCACAGTTACATGAGTGAGGTTATGAGTACACTTCCTCTTGAACATTGTTACCCCCTCCATTGTTTTCCCCCTACCATCCCCTCCCTCCCTCCCTTCCCCGAGGTTCTTTTTTTTTTTTTTTTTTTGATTGTGATTAAATGATTACATAATTTCAAAGTCACAAGTTCATTCTAACTTCCCTGGAGCAAATTGTCTACCACAGTCTGTAATATATAACAGTGTTCACATGTTATATACCATATTTGTGATCAGCAGCATGAGGATATTTAGTAGTGGTTCAACCAGATGAGCGGGAGTTCTTTGTTTCTTAAGTCCTGTTAGTTTTGTCGTATCACTAACCTTTTGGATTTAGCATCCACTTATGAGGGAGACCATGTACCGTTTGTCTCTTCGTTCTTGGCTTACCTCGCTCAACATGATTCCTTCTAGCTCCATCCATTTCCCTGCAAATGCCATTATTTTGTCATTTCTAATGGCTGCATAATATTCCATTGTGTATAGATACCACAATTTTTGGATCCATTCATCTGTGGTGGGGCACCTAGGTTGTTTCCATATCCTAGCTATTGCGAACAGTGCTGCAATAAACATGGAGGTGCACGTGTCCTTGTATATTGGTTCCTGTTGTTCAGGGTAGATGCCTAGAAGTGGTATGACTGGGTCGTAAGGGAGGTCAATCTTTAGCTTTCTAAGGACCCTCCAGACTGCTTTCCAAAGTGGTTGTATAAGTGTACATTCCCACCAGCAGTGTAATAGGGTTCCTCTTTCTCCACATCCCCTCCAGCATTTGTCGTTGGCTGATTTGTGGATGTGGGACATTCTGACTGGGGTAAGGTGGTATCTCAGGGTTGTCTTTATTTGCATTTCCTTCACCACCAGGGATGATGAACATTTCCTCATGTGTTTCTTTGCCATTTTTATTTCTTCATTTGAGAAGTCCCTCTTTAGTTCCCTTGCCCATTTAGTAATTGGTTTGTTAGGTTTGGGAGGGATTAGTTTCTTGAGTTCCCTGTATATACAGGATGTTAACCCCTTGTCTGATATATTGCTGGTAAATATTTTTTCCCAATTAGTTGGTTGTCTTTCTAGCTTAGTTGCGATAGATTTAGCTGTGCAGAAGCTTTTTATTTTAAGGTAGTCCCATTTGTCGAGTCTCTCTCCAACTTGTTGTGACCCTGGGACTCTGTTCAGGAAGTTCCTTCCTGTGCCTATTAGTTCAAGTGTCTCTCCTACTCTGTCCTGCAGTAGTTTCAGAGATTCAGGTTTAATGTTAAGGTCTTTAATCCATTTTGAGTTGATGTTGGTGCATGGTGATAGGCTGGGGTCCACTTTTAGTTTTCTGCATGTGGCTGCCCAGTTTTCCCAGCACCAGCGGTTGAAGAGGCTGTGTTTCTTCCATTGTATGTCTTTGGCTCCTTTGTCGAATATCAGCTGGCTGTAGGCCTGTGGATTTATATCTGGATCTTCTATTCTGTTCCATTGGTCTTCGGGTCTGTTTTTGTGCCAGTACCATGCTGTCTTTGTGATTATAGCTCTGTAGTAGAGTTTGAAGTTCGGCATGGATAGCCCTCCCATATTGTCTTTATCCCCTAGAATTGTTTTGGCTATTCTAGGTCTTTTGTTGTTCCATATAAATTTTTGGACTGTTTTCTGTATTTCAGTGATGTACGTCATTGGGATTTTAATAGGAATTGCATTGAATTTGTATATTAATTTTGGAAGTATCACCATCTTTACTATATTAAGTCGGCCTATCCAGGAGCATGGGAGGTCTTTCCATTTCCTAGTGTCTTCTGCAATTTCTTTCTTTAACTTTTTATAGTTCTCATTAAATAGTTCTTTTACATCTTTGGTTAGGTTAATTCCTAAATATTTTATTTTTTGGGAGGTTATTGTGAATGGGGTTGCTCCCTTTATTTCCCTCTCTTCCTGTGCGTTATCAGTGTATAGGAAGGCAACTGATTTTTGTGGGTTTATTTTGTATCCTGCTATTTTGCCGAAGTGACTTATGATTTCTAAAAGTTTGGGGATGGAGTTTTTGGGATCGTGGAGGTATAGTATCATGTCGTCTGCAAAAAGGGATAGTTTCACTTCTTCTTTCCCTATGCGGATCCCTTTAATGTCTTTTTCTTGCCTTATTGCCCTGGCTAAGGGTTCTAGGACTATGTTGAAGAGGAGTGGAGACAGTGGACATCCTTGCCTTGTTCCTGTTTTTAGGAGGATTGGTTGTAGCTTTTCCCCATTAAGTATAATATTGGCTATTGGTCTGTCATAAATGGCTTTTATTGTTTTTAGAAATGTTCCTTCTATTCCTATTTTCTCCAGAGCTTTTAGCATGAATGAATGTTGAATTTTATCAAAGGCCTTTTCTGCATCTGTGGCGATAATCATGTGGTTCTTGACCTTGGCTCTGTTGATATGCTGGATTACATTTATTGACTTACGTATGTTAAACCATCCCTGTGTCTCTGGGATGAAGCCTACCTGATCATAGTGTATTATTTTTTTTATGTGTTTCTGGATTCTGTTAGCTAGAATCTTGTTAAGGATCTTTGCATCTGTGTTCATCAAGGAGATTGGCCTGTAATTCTCCTTTTTGGTTGGGTCTTTGCCTGGTTTGGGGATGAGTGTGATATTGGCTTCGTAGAATGAGTTTGGGATAGCTCCCTCCTTCTCTGTTTCTCTGAAGAGCTTGAGGAGTATGGGTATTAGTTCTTCTTTAAAGGTCTTATAGAATTCTGCTGTGAATCCATCTGGTCCTGGGCTTTTTTTTGTTGGAAGACTTTTGATAGCTTCCTGTATCTCATTATAGGATATTGGCTTATTTAATTGGTTAACTTCTTCTTTGCTCAGTTTGGGTAACTTGTATTTCTCTAAAAATGCATCCATTTCCGCCAGATTTTCTTCCTTTAGAGAGTATAGCT